ATCATTTCTTGACTGGTTTAAATTTAACTTATGCAAACTCTTGACGTATGCCAACAAAGTTGCATAACCAACTTAAGCTATCCTTATATCTTATATACAGATGAATACTATTTAGCCATAGAATAGTTATGCCTTGACGTATGCCAACAAACATAGTATTTATAAGCTTAATAGTATTTAACTAAAATAATGGAGGGCTACGGACGATTTCTCAAATCTTTTACCGTAATCGAACTTGATATAGTTTAAAGATGCTCTATATTTATACTTGCAACAATTAAACTAGCCAGGAAAGCGCAAGATTGGTGGGAGGGTTCTGAGCTATTCACCGGGAATATTTATCAGACCTTAATTAAGTAATCACTTCTCTTTAAGATTATAGCACGAAAGATTGAGCATCACCCCTAATCTTAAGTTGGGTATCACCCCATTAGCTATACCTCATAATCACTTTCCTTAGACACTAGCTAAAAGTTGGTTCTAAATACATCTCTTTTAACTTTTTGAGATTTATTTATTTTTCACACTAACGCGATGTTAATGTCGATCTCACCACTCTATGGTCAATAAACTCTTATTGCCATATCTCACAAAGTTTAAAAAACAAGTTTTTATAATAAAAATTATTCTCTAGTGAGATAGAGATATAAACTTTGTAAAAAAAATAACACCTAATTGTATTGACATCTACAATTTGGGGCACAACCAACATATCAACATATGTAATGTAAAACTTATATAGAATGGTAGTGGACAACTAAAGAAAATAAAATGCAACTACACTAATTACATTTTAGCAAGCCATATGCAACTCCTTGCGGTGCTTGCTCCCTTGCAAACTCTGTATTATTACAATCATATAAACATAGGACGTGCAAGCCCCATTTATAATGGAAAAACCATCTCGTAGGATGGGTAATAATATTGTATTAAATGTAAAGAAAAAGCTATAAATAAAATAACTAAACTAAGCAACCATACCCCCCCCCCACACCCGAACAATGGCCTATACTCGTAGGCGTAACCCATGATCGGTGAGCAAGTGCCTAAACCCGTAGGCGCAGCCCATGCTCGGGGAGGGAAGAGGTCGTAAATAATTATTACATTTCTAACTTTATTACATCAATACAAAACATACAATAGAATAGTTGTCCACTACCATCCATAAACATAACATCCATGCAAGATGATAAATCATATAACTTAATCAACATTAAGAAATATGCATCTATCTAGTTATGCAACATATTGGAAACTAGATAGCATAAGGATTATCCAAACTCAAAAAAGACTAACAAGCTTCTAACATACAACTACACTAGTTGTAATTAATTATTTTATAAAATAACTTGAATTAATTAACTAGTTTCATGTAAACTAGAAATTAGAAGCAAGAACAAGGTCCTCCATGAGTTAGATGTACATGTTAAGATTCAATTAGATAGAACCATAGCTCTGATACCATGAAGGAAATCGTGCTATGTCTACATGCATAATACACAGCGGAAGACATGTATGTACAAAAATACTAAGCATGTAGAGAGCATGAAATATTCATATGGATCGTCTAATTAAATCTAACATGATCCTTATTATTAAGTGAGCATACAAGAGTTAGAAAGTCATACTTTTGTAGCGTGATTCGATGGAAGATCGAATAACCCCTAGCTTTTGCTCCTTGTAGTAGAAAATCTCCTCGTAGTGGATCTCCAAGTCTTCAAGTGGGCTTGATAAAATGGGAGTCTTCTTAAGACACAGGGCAAGTTATCCACCCCGGGGTTCTTAAAATCCTACTACTTCCTCTTGCTCAAAGATTGCTAAAGTTTAGTAAGAGGAGAGCTCTCTTTTATTCTCTTATGGAAAAAATACTTAGCCAATTTTTTATTAACCTTTCCATAAGAAAAAGAGCTCATATTTATAGAGTGAAATGTGTTCATGATATGAATGACTCATCCTATGAGTCATGCAATGAATCATCAAAAATTAATGATTAATCAAGTGAGTCATGCAATGAATCATCTTATGAATCATTACATTTCAAAACCATGTGCTAATAAACCATGTGCTCAAACCATACCACTAAGTGACTCATCTCATGACTCATTATACATGGTATGTGTATTTCATAAATGAGAATACCAAATTATTATCACTAATACAGTATTTCATAAATACGGTATATAGTATTATTCCAATCTTTAACTAATTAGTCACTATATGACCAAATAAATCAAGAGTTGACCAAAAGTCAACTGTTGACCAAAAAATCAACTAGTTGACTAAAAGTTAACTTTATGAGAAAAATACTAGAATTCATTTCCTAAGCACATAGCATTCCGATTTTACCGATATATATAATTGTTTATGTGTATCCGGAAGAAATCATATATGCGTATCAATCATACGCATCACTCCATAAATTGTGTTTCATAGGATTCAAGTACGCGCTTGGTGTGACTCTAGGGCCCAACTTAAAAAACTCGATAGTAGATCATATCCATAAGTACAACAGAAGTGCTAGCTACACATGAAGACCACCCGGGTATAAGTTGTGATAAAGGTCTGCAAGATGCTTATCCAATTTTATCAGGACCACTCAATGATAATACCGTACAGTCCGGTCTCTTCGTCAAACCATGTCAAACTATTGAGCCTAGGGTATGGCAAACTGTCAAAGCCTAATAGCTTGATTAGTGTTTATTGATATTAAACTCATAACCTATAAGATCAAACTGACACTCAGTTTATCTTATTCACCTTGGCCAAGGATTTCCAGGCTATAGTTATATCAAATAATCTTATGACATCAACCCCTATACTGGGAGAGACGAATCCCTTCTTAGCATCTCAATATCTACTTATGTCTCGAGATGTACCCAACAAGAACCGTTATGCACAATTGAATAAGAACTGTGGTTAGGTAAAAGTCTAAATACATCTTTACTGACATATAAGATATCGCACTCATGCCTCAGGTCAAGAGACTACTATGTACTATATCACTTGAGAACTTCTATTTGACAGTTAAGTATATTACCAACTAGATATTCTCGGCGAGTCGTTCAGTCAACTCATTCACTAATGAGTCACTTGTATACTGTATCTTGATGTCTCACATCAATGATCTAAGAGATTGATCATCTCCTTCAAAAGGAGAAATAAAGCATACACTAGTCTAAACCAAAGTGATGATGTCCTATCTCAACACTTCATCAACTAGGAACATTTTAGAATATACGTTACCGACTAATCAGATCTCTTCATTACGATCACTATCCGAAATGTCTGATAGTCTAGTATTTATTCTAAGGACATTATCTGTATTTTTAGAACATCAGATAAATCTGATCAAAATAGCATACTATCATTTTGAACAATGATGTTATATACATATAGGTCATGTTATAATATACAATAATTATCTGCAGGGCACCTATATCTAATAAGTTATTTACGACTTGATATACACAAGATCTTGATTTCTGAATTATATTGCTTTTGCCCTTGAGCAAGTTTTGAGCTAGTGGCGGAGAAACGAGACCCCACTCACTAGACGCCACGTATTTCACGTGTATAGGACTTAGATAACCTTTGTAGTTATTGCTTTTCTTTATTTATGATCATTGGGACCGTTTCCCAATACCGCTGACTATTGGCCAACGTCTATCTAGTCGCCCACAAAGAGCGAATCTCCTCGCCACAACATCGTCTTGGAACCAGCCACGTAAACGGCATGCCTTCCTAAGCTCCAGTCATTTTAGAAAAGGGGTGGCCCCCACCACGTAAGCCAGCTTGCGCCATCTTTCGGGGGGCTAAGCTCGCAGCTCCACGCCGCCGCGTGTACAGAAGGGAAAGCAACTTGACACATGGCCTCTGCATGCCGTGGGCCCGCCCGTCTATAAAATCGCCCAATTTGCTGCCTTCCTGTGCTACGTGTCAAGTTCTCAAGACGACCAGGCCCGTACGGATGGACGTCCTCATCCCTTTTGTCGAGCGAGAGCCTTCAGGAGTCTGCTTTTAGATTGTTGTCGGGCGTCGTCACTGAGAGCTGACGGGGGGGTTTGCTTGCGAATGCAAGCATCGTTGCTGGCACGCGACTGTTCTGCAGCGGGTAGCCTACATGTAATATACCGGGGCGCAAGTGACGGTCGGCGGGGCTGGAGCCCTGAGGGCGCGCCCTCGAGGAGACAGGAGCAGGATTGGCTTCGGTTATTGTGGTGGGGGATCTTTTTCATGAAGATTAACCCATGCAACGGGTTGCTTTTCTGCTGATGGGCTGTTTGGTTCGTTTCTACAAAATTATGGTAATGTATTCCATCGTAAAAAATTAAATTTACATTTTTTTTAAGGATATCTAATGAACCCAAAACCTGTGTTTAATTTAGAATGATAAAGCAAATAATAGGAAAGCATAATCAAAACTCATGTTTATTTTATTTTCAAATAATAAGAAAATAATCATCAGACTTAAAGAGAAGAAAAGCTGAGCTGACAAATATGTCGACTCTCTAGCTCATTTCCAAGTGAAAAGACAGGATTTTTGTTGTCCAAACAATATCAATGTTTTCTCTCTTTTTAAGAAACATTTTTTTAAAAAAAATTGAAACAAACCCAACTTTTAAAATCACATAATTGCTCTTTCTTAAAGAAAAATTCTTTAAGGACCTAAAATATGGGACCAATAGGGGGGATAAGTGAGGTGTCCCCCTCCTATTGGATAATGAGTTGGCCGTCATTAATGATGACCAACTCATTATCCAATAAAAGAGGGACACCTCACTTGTCCCCCCTATTGGTCCCATATTTTGGGTCCATGTAGCAAAGCTCTTTTTCAAAACCTACTTTTTTTTTTTTTTTAAATGATGGTTTCCTAAAATTTGGACCAAACAAACAGTCAAACGTGGGACCCTGTCACCACGTTCTGGGACCCATGCCTCTCTGAATTTATACAGCAGTCACTAAAAACACAACGAGGCCTCGAGACCGTCAGTCACGTGGGCAAAATACCGTGTTTAATGCAGTATACAGCTAATGAGACCCCCCACAGTAAACGCAGCAACGTTCATAGCTCATAAACAGAGTTTTCCCGAACACAAAGAAACACACAGGAAAAAAGGCAGCGTCACAACACTGCTGCTGCATATTCTTCATGTGTTTTATAACAACACCGCCGCAAGAAACTTGATCAACACGTATCAATTATTTTCAGCTTTGTTTCTTTTATTACAGTCACAAGTAACCAGATAGAGATTTGATCCATTTTGAACGTGCAACACGTACGTAGTAGGCAATAAACAGATCAAAACGGTGCTCTCCCGTGCGACTCTTGGGAGAGATCATATACAATGCTCATGTAGCCGACGTAGTCCTGGGGCAATTGTCAATACTGCATGCTAAGATATCTCTGTAATCACGGGAGATTGTGAAGCGATCACGCACCTCCCCGTTGCTGCTTCTTTTGTACTCGGCTAGAAGCGAGGAATGATTGAACGCTGTGAGCTTCACAAATCCATAATCACGGTCCCTGACGTGACTCCATTTTGGTATCTCGGGACTGAAGTCGGCAAGGCTGGCTCCACCACCCCCGACTACAATATGGGTGGTTGCTTGGAAGGAGCCACTGTAGTGATTTGATCCATTTTGAACGCATATGTTCTGACGTAAGGAGGGGGGAAAAAACAAAGTAACTAAGTTGGAGAATCCCAACTTATTTTCTCATATTTATAAGTTATACTTAGTAAGGGAGCACGTGCATTGCACGTGCCCGACGGAAATTTTGATGATTTAAAGGATTAATTTCAAAAGACGAATGATTTTAGGGACTATATATTATAAGAAAAATCCATTATGGTTATTTGGTAGCTTTTATTTCACTTTGGCGTCCTTGATGTATTTTTCTAACATTTTAATCCAAAATTTCAGACATATTTTGTTTCGATATCATATCCATATTATATCAGAATTTTCCATTAAACTTATATTGCATCAATCAACATGTGTTTAATAAGTGACGCAATGCATTTTAAAAAGGACAAAAAAGGTGGATGTCCAATATTAAAAGTTGTGTATAGAGTTAAATTTCTTGGTGATTAAAATAATTAAAAAGGAATTTACCACCATACTTCTGATAAGCTAGATGTAGTCTAGATTTCCTATTTATCTGATGTTTTTTTATGTGTGTATGAGATATATAGTTATAGTTAGTACTAGACATTAGATGGTTTGTTGTATATGTGTGCAAGTATAGATGTGTATGCGTGCGAGTGTATTGTTGCTAATCACAAAGGAAACCAAAGTTAGGAAGAAGACTAACTTTAACGCATGAAAAGAATGTCCACATGCAATTAAGTTAAAAATGCATGGCCAAAATTGTCTCAATAAATTATTTCGCAGAACTGCAAGTATCTGGTCCCTCTTTTTGTTGCACAAAATTAAAGAAATATATACATGAAAATAGAGTATAAGAAGGAAAATACAGCTAATGCTAGAGGGCAACTAACATGTTTGGGTGAAATAGGATAAAAAGTACATAACATGAGGTAGGATGAATATTAAAATTTAGAAAACTATTAATTAAGTAGTACATAATTATATTTAAAATTTAAAAATAATAAAATGTGTTACTCGGTGATAAGTGCTAGTAAACAAATTGAATCGTGATAAATATAAACTTATAGCTGATTAATCTAAATAATAATATCTTTTTCACTTTTGAAGACCCAAATGCATTTTCTAAGGTTATTATCTCCTAGAGATAAGCTAGAAATTAGAATACTATTGTAATTAATTAATTAATTTCTACAAAAAAATTAATTAATTAATTAATTAGTCTCTAATGTCTGGAAAAAGCCGGGTTAATTTAAGGTGGTGTACTGATTTAAGAATGTGGTGGGTAAAAATTCTCATATTATTTAATAACTCTACTTTTTTATATATAGGTAAAACTTCACATATTATTTACTAACTCTACTTTTTATATATATATTGAGGAGCATGTGCATTGCACGTAGCTTCTTCAGAGTTGTTGCGTATCGAAATTCCTATTAGACCGTTGAATTCTCATAAGTTGTTTGAAATAGATCACTACAATTACTAGTTCTACTCTTTATTTGAAAAACTAATTTGGAATGATCTAAGTATCAAGGACGTGATATCAATTGCCCTTATTTGAGGGATCAATTTTAAAATAGCTTAAGAAAAGGGGAACCTAATAGCAACTTAAATGACTTGAAAGACTATTACCAATATATAAAAGATTTAAGATATTAATATAGAAAAAAACCCTTTCGATTATTTGGTGGCTTATTTTCATTTTGGCGCACCAGAGTTATCTAGCCTTTTCACTTTGAAGTCTTAGAGTATTTCTTTTGACAATAAATAGTATTTTGTTGGATAAAAGGAGAAACAAATTATTTAATAATAAATCTCCATCAAAATGTCAGGCTAAATTCTTCAAGTCAAAAAATTATATCATTCTACGATCTAAAGTTCATTTAAACTATTTATAAACTTTCAATACATAATTCTGAAGACTTGTAAAAATAGTTTATCTATACAAATCTAAATATTCACACAAAATTTAGGGCTATTTAGTATTGGTCCCTCAAATTTTCAATGGCTCTATATTAGCCATTCAAACCTTTGAAATTACTCATAAGTCCCTTAAATTTGAAGGGCTCATACAGTATAATATATCAAAGAAAAATGTGTACACTTTGAAGCATCAAGCGTCGAGGATAAATCTTTGAGATATCAAAGTCAAAGTTAGAAAATTAACTTCAAGGTATGAAGCTGCAAATAACCCAGCTCCCATTTACGTGTATAACTACAAATAATTGGCTATTCACCCTATAGAATGTAACTATGTATCGTGTATTATACATCCTAGCATGCAACTATACGCTTAATACTATGTAGGTATCCACTTTGTGCTATGTAAATCACCATTGTATTTTGGGTATATGAAAATGTATAAAACTATGTTGGTTTCAAAGTAAATTGGGTCAAGCATTGGGTTAAGTATCTTATTGCTCGGCAAAATCACCTCTGTGGGTCCCACCATGTATTTTAAAAATTATATTAGCCAGTTGTGTGATGGGACCCGCCTGCGTACCGCAAGCTTTTATGTTCTACAAACTTTCGCAAACTCATGTTCGGCTTTTTAATATAACTAATGAAAAATAAGTACACAAGTAAATTTTACCAAACATGTATCTCAGACTCTTCTTATAAGTAGACATACACCTATAACTTTACCTTTACTTTAGTGTAATTATACATATACCACCATTCCTTTCTAATTTATATGTAAACCACCTTAAGAGTTTGATTTCATTTCAATCAACCACTAGGACCAAATATCTAGCTTTAAATCTGATTCTACCCTTACAAAATGAACGTGATTTGCACGTGCCTCCCACTCTTACCCGTCCTTAACTATACCGTTAACCCATTGACCAAACCATTAACACAAAAAAATAAAAAAATACATTTAAATAAAACTGATCCTCCCTTTCTCTCTCTTCGGCTGAGTTAAAAATCAATCCTCCCCCAACCACCAAACCCTAGATCCATTAAACCTTGCAAAGAAGAAGAAATCTCATCAAATTTTTGCTATTCATCTATAGATTGAAGAAAAATGTCTCAGACTTCGCTCCCCTATGAGATTGCTACTAGTTCTTCTTCTTAGACTCATTACAAGCCTGAGGTGAAACACAAATGTGGGTTTAGGGCTTCTATGCTAACATCTCGAGCCGAAAGGAACTTCAGATGGAGGTTTTTAAGCTGTCATTTCTATTGCAAGATCACTGGTAAAAAAAAATAGAAAGTAATGATTTTTTTTAGTGGTATGACGGAAGCCAAAACAAGTTATAAATATGCTAATGATTGAGAAGAAGATGGAGGAGGAGCTCACCGAGATGGGTAAGAAGTATGGAGTAATGGAAGAAGAAAATAAAAGAATTGAATTTGAGAATAAAGTACTTACGGATGAAATTTTGCAAATGAAGGAGGAGATGTGAAGAATGAGAGAGATGTCTATGGTGTAATTTGTTAATATTCTGTGTAATTTTAGTAGTTGTGATTTTTTTCTGTAAGATTTCGTGATCATTGAGAATTAGACCTAGTGTTAGTCCTAAAAGCATATCTACTCCAGTGGCATAGATCCTCAGCCATGAGTATGCATATGCGTCTTTATCTAATTCTTTCATCTATTTGCCAAATCAAATTATACTCTTGTTGAAGCCCGACAAGCTTTCCAAATGGCATCTTTGAATACTTGCCTGGAAATCTTTAGTTGATGTTAGCATGAATATGCCGACAACAAAACCTTATTTCTGCGTTTAGTACTACAATACTCAATGCCTCAATCAACCCTTACACACATGACAACACACATGAATAATTCAGCAAAGAACATCATATATCACATGAAATAACTAAAAGGCAAATAAGTAAAGAAATGCATGTGAATATATCTTTAGTTTATCTGACATAAATGACCACCCATTAGACTAAACAGGGCCAATATTATTTATCAGACAATGAAGAAACCAACATCATGTATCTTTGTTCTCGACCTCAACCACAGCATATGCAATTGGAAAAATGTTACCATTCCCATCTTTTCCCACTGCAGAGAGAATTTGTCCAGTGTAAATCCCTTTCAAATGTCATCCATCTATCCTTATAAGTGACTTGCGTCCTCTTTTGAATCCCTATTTACAAGCTTCGAAACATACATCCTCTAGAATATAGGTGTTAGTTGCCTTGGATTATTATCAACTCGCACCATCATAGTCCCATAACCTCTGATATTGTTCAGTTGCATCACCATGTATCTTAAACAGAGCTCTCTATCTAGCTTTGTATGCGAAAGGCTTAACAATGGCAATCTGAACTTGTTCGATGGAATCATTTATTTCCATTGTGGACCATCCCTCCACATCACCTGATATTTTTGTACTAACCAAGTAGGAGAGACTTTGGATATGTTGTGTCTGCAACCCCCACAATTGTCATGTCCTAGCCTCAATGACTTGGTTTGGATAGTGACTTCATCTGTCACCTTTACACCATGAACTTTGAATCTGCATTGATCTTTACAAGTATTCTTGCACTTTAATTTCCTCCCATGCTTGAAGTTATCCTCACATTTACGCCTATACTTGCAATAACTTGAAATCCTATTTCTATCATTGTGTAAATAGTACTAATCATACCCTTCTTGCACTGCATAAAGCTTCAAAGTTTTCTAAGTATATCATTGTTTGCAAACATTAGTCCCAATTTCAATGGTTTGTTTAGATCAATTCAATTATTTAATTCAACATATGGATATACCTCATCATCAAATCCATACGAGCTCTCCAATTCCTCTATATTGCAATCCCTATCCTCACTAATATCAGGAAAGTACTCCGCATCTTCAAAATGCTCTGAATTACTAGATGTCTAGAGCACTCTGAGCTGCAATAGTCTCATCCAAATCAACATTTACATGGTAAAAAAAACATCATTAACAATACCAACATCATAATCAGTATTAGTATCGGAAAGCTCAAAATCTAAATTATCTATTACTTCTTCTGCACACTCATTCTACACCTCTACAGATCCGTGAGAGAAGGTTAATAAGGGCCTATCTTCCTCAAAATCTTCGAGATCCATCTACTAACCATTCAGGCACATTCACATCTTTTTTGAGATAAATCTAGCTCATGGAATTAGATTGAGGTGGAGGAATATTGTCAAAGTTTGGAGAAATTAGTAACTCGTTAGTATTAGACAGAGGAGTGTGATGTGGAAGTAAATTGGCATTGTGTCGCATAATTAGGGGTTCATTGGAATTAGATGGAGGGGGTGGAGGTGGTGGATGTTTGACATTGTCTTGTTCAAGAATTGGGGGCACATTGAAATTAAACGGAGGAGGTGGATGTTGAGGATGATTGACATTGTCCTGTTCAAGAGCTTCATCATCAATGACTTCATCAATCATATTCAAGAGCTTCATCATCAATGGCTTCATCAGTTCCATGCACAGGTTACACAGAGACCTTTACATTTGGACCAAGAGAAACAACCATATCTAGTATGTCTTAGTCCTTAACTATTTGTCTTAATCCCTTGGGCCAATGTTACTATATCTCAATTGAATTTTCAAAACATCTTCTAGCTCCTACAAAGACAATTTATCAACATTGTGATCATGTTTTCTATGGACATATCCCTCCACATACTTTAAGTTGACCCATCTCCCTTTCAAACCTACCACGATGATGATAATGCCCCTACATATTTAAGTTGACCCCTCTCCCTTTCAGACCTACCACCATGATGCTAGTCAATCGTGAAAACATAATCCCTCCTAAACACAGTTACATTATAGATAAATATAAGATCTTTAAAGCATTTGCAACCCCACAGGATAAATGCATGACACTGAAACTTTAAAACAACATAAATTATTCAAAATTGAAATCTTTAACGTTAATTTGCCAAAATTAAACCACAGATATAATCAAAGTAAAAACCCATGAAAAACCATATGAGTGTCACCTTAAAATAACATAAATTAATGCAGTCAAAGTAAAAACCCATGGAAAACCATATGAGTGTCATCTTAAAATAACATAAACTATTCAAAAAATTTAGATTTAATGTCAATTTGGTCGAATTTAACCACCAACTGAGTCAAATAGAAAAGCCCTAAAATTTCCAGTCAAACAAACAAAGCCCTAACCTTAACCCTTTTCAGCTTTTAAAAACTTAAGCTCTACAATTGAGGAGCATAGCAATATAACCCAAAATTTAAAATTGAGTTTAGAGTACATGGTCTTGAAGAATACACTTAGGTCCAAAACAATGTCCCCTTTCTCTTTTGAATCATTGCCTTTTTCACTTTTTGATGAAAATGAAGCGTTAGGACACTCTAACAGAGAGATTCCCTAATGGAATGCTTATAGTTTCCCCATCACTTGAGAAAATGATCCTATGAGCATCAGTATAGGTGATCTTTCCTTTGTGTTGGGCTATAACGGAAACCACGAATTCGAGAGCCATTTGGTGTTCCAGACCAGTTCTAACAATGCACTTCTCGGACTGAGAAAGATAAACTGCTTAGCGCTACATCTTAGAACTCATTAAAGCTCAATTCGCATCATTATTCTCGATAAAAAGGATGAGGGAAGCTCCAACAGCAAAATATTAGGACAAATGCTTCTAAAATGAACCTATTCTCATGCAATAGTCAAGTATTCTTGACGTATCGAGTCGAAACTTCCAATATGAATAGTTCTATTTCTCGATGGGACCCCGTGAAGGGATATAACTTAGCAGTAGAATGTTACCAACCGAAATGGTTTCAAAAAATTAGTTGGTAATTTTTCCAATATATAACACCCATAATGATAAAATGATTTGAACCATTTACTAAAATAAATAAAGAGCATATTGCCCTTTATTATCCAATGTTGAACCGACGACTTATGTATTAAAAAAAGGAATTTTTTGGATTTGTAGGAAGAAAGGAAATAAAATGTATATATATATAATATTTTTAATTAAATAAAAAACAAATAAAGAAACAACTTTGCTGACAAATATATTTTTTGCTCTAATAGAATAACAAAAAATGGAAGGGAAGAGGATTTTTAAGGGTGGGGGATGGGACGACATCATCGTCTTCAACTCCTCTTGTTACACTACTTTTCTGCGAGACATTGTGGGATCATAAGAGACTAATGATCTTTTATAGTAATTGACGAAGCATGACATCACATCTTGTCTTTAGTATACGAGTAGTACATAACTTATAGTATAGTTAGCATTATTCAAAGTTTTAATACATAGGAATTCATGGGACATGTTCAACTTTTTACTTATCGCTAGCCTAATTACTTTTTGGTATCTAAATCCTTAGGTTTTGAAGAAATATAATAGATGAGTTCATGAAAGTGACAGCATGTATCAGTAGAAGTATGTTAAAAAACAAGAAAAAATACAAACGGTAGTTGATGATGAGATATTCAATTTAAAAATCGTAATTTTACTCATAACGGAATATTACAACTTTCAACATTTTGGGTAAAAAAACATTTGGATATTGCATCTAAAAGAGAACGAAACATCATAATGATTTGATGATTTAGTGTATGATTGTAACACGAGTCATCATCTAACAACAGAAAGTGTTAGTAGATAAATGAAGTTCAACAAAGGGTGTGTTTGGCAACTCACCCAAATTGAACTAGGAATAATCCTGGTTCAATTCTATCTCAAACCAGTTTTAGTTTGAACTAAGGGAGGGCTGGTCCAAACTAAAACTGGTTTAGTGACCACTATTTGACCTTAAAAACTAGGCCTAAATTTTTTCCAAACTTAAAACTAACTCAAAACTGGAACATGTTCAGTCCTCGCCCAGTTTTAAAAGGTTGTCATCACACCCTTAAGAGTTACGATCATATAGGTAAGGGACTAATTTTAGGTTATTTTTAGAAAAGTAGTATCTAAGACGAGGAAAAAGTTACCTGGTAGACTGGACATGTTCTTTCATAATTATGTGCATGGCCATAGAAAGCAATGTCAACCTTGTATTTCTGCCAGAGTTCTTGAAGGCTCTCTCTTCCCATCGGTTCCCCATAAGCCCCATTATCAGCATAAAAATCGGTGGTTGAGTAGCCAAGTACTCGATGAGCAAGAAAGATCAACCATGGTTGTTGCTTTCTATCAACTGATGATAGACAATGTTCAATGAACTTATATTGCTCGGTTCCTGGTCTCCAATCATGCTCGGTGTCAGCTATACAAAATCGAAACATACCAAAATCTGTTGCATACCTGAAAAGAATAATTTACACTATCAAGATATTTATCCGCTCCTTTCTCCATTTCATGATTCTAAATAGAAATGCATGTTATTTTAGATAAATAAATGTATACAATACCGCTAAAGCAACTGCCCGAGCTGTTTTTGAACAACATTGCAATATTTTGACATGTGGCAGTTATCCAGCCAATGTTAAATATAAGCTTCCTTCATCCTTTCATCCTCTTTCATCCTTTCATCTTCTCCACTCTTTAATTTACTTTTTACATTTCCCAGGTAGTATTTAATGCTTGCAACAATCAGAACCTCTCCCTGCATCACAATCAAACCTGCGAATCTCTACTAACCTTTCAACTTATTCTTAGAAATAGATAACATCTGTGAAATTCCTCTTAAATCCTCTTTGTTTTCCTCCTCTTGAAAATAAGGAATACAAGAAGGAAGAGAGATCCTCATCCTCCACTTCACCTTCCCTCATCTCCTCTTTCCTCTCTCTCTCTCTCTCTCCCTCTAAGGACATTGCCGGCATAACCCTCCTACGCATCCTCTATCATCGACCACTATACCTCCCTTACCCCAGATCAATTTCTAATCTCCTTTCAAAACCCAAACGCCAATTCTCTCCTTTTTTCCCAAAATAAAAAATTGAAGCTCTAACCACCGCCATCCTCCATAGCCTACACCCTCGTCTTTCGCTACCTCCATGAGGACCACGACAGCCCGAAAAACAAACACAAACGATCCGAACCCGAATCAGAAACCCAATTCCAACTTGAATCCATGGATCTAGACACCAACGACGAACTTCCTTCATCCAAGCGCTAAGATCTCCCCCTTCATCCCTATGATTATTAATGGTTGTCAATTGGGTTTTTTCATTATGTAATTATTTATTCATTTGGTTTATTTAGATCCGTAATTGTTGTTAATTTACTTTGCATGAGATTATCAAAAGTGACATTTTTCAAGTGAACTATTAAGTGTTTCCACCTCTCGTTCTTATAGATCTTTAAGTGGACTATGTATGCTTCTGCGCAGATTTCGATGCTGCATTCTGAGCTATAACCAAGTTAACCCAGCAAACAATCATAGGTGTTAAAATAGTTGATTATTACAATATATGAATTTATCTCGAAATATTTTCAACATTTCTATTGTTGGCTATTCTTTAATAGGTTTTGGCTAAGCAAAATATGGGTTGGTTATGACTATGCAAATTTGTAAGATGTGAGGTAGAATAATGGCTAGGTAAGATTTATGATAGTTATTTTTCCTTATGCTTTTGTTTGCATTGCTTCTTTTAATAGTTTAACCATTACCTTTGGATATGACAGTTGTCACTTATTATTTTAGTTAGTAAGTTCTATTAAATGATTAATTTTTATACAAAGGAAAATATTTCTCAAACCCTAAAAGGGTACACAAACCATGAAATATTGTTGAACCTCACAAGGTTTACACAAACTTTTTTTCTTCTTTGATTTTATGTCAAATACAAATCAAGCCATCAAAATCTTTCGCTAAACCAAACCTTGAGTTTTAAAGGTTTGAGTACTTATTGGACACTTCACTAAAAGTGGGTTTTAAAGGTTCGGAGCATTACAAATTAGTATGATTGAGCAAAATATTGTATAATCATTGCTTGCTTCTGCCTACAATCAATGTTCACGATAATTAATAGTTTCTCCATTTTCAATATCTAACGAGGGGACTAGATGTATGGTAATTGTAAACACAGAATACTAATATTGCTCAATAAAAGTTCAAATTTTTTGCTAATATTATTGAAGAGCTTAAAAAATGAGGATGTACGCTGAATGGGTTAAAATATATACATTGTTAACTTCTCTATCAATTGCATAAATAGTAAGGCAATGCTAAATGCTCTAGCAATTAAATAAATAATAAGACAATAATCTCCTACTAAGGTATGGCTAAACATCATGCATGAAGGATTTACCATTATTAATCATGTCGGAGGACTATCCGGATATGTTTATGAACTATCAAAATTAAAATCCACTGTTAATTTTTGACAATAAAACTACATACTCATGTTTATATCAAATATTATATAATACAACATAAATCTCATTTATTCTAAAAACAAACAACTTAGCTTAATCTCCTTTGCTGAATATTTTAATTAAATTGTGAAAATTCTTATGTTTATAGGCCATAAACACATGATTTCAAATTGTCTGCATTTCAATTTTGAGAGATGGCATTGCTTAGAGTTTTACAAACGCGTGAATCAATTATATATGAATAAATGAACTTATTATACCAAGCATTCATTGATTGAGATTAAATGAATGAACCTTATTATCACAAGCTCATTCATTAATTGGGAACTGGGAGCTACCATAAGAATATCCAAAATTACTATGTTTTGCTTAATTTCCTCTTTTTTCGCATTATACTTTAATTATGGCATTACATTTTTATTATGGTCGGTAGTCAACTTGGAACTTGTAGTTGCGACCATAGTAGTTTACTTTCATGTTTCCATGTTGTATCCTCTGTAGACTCTAGGATTATATTTTGTTATTTAATTTCCTCGCATTGACTATTTTTTTCATCTATTATTTACCCTTTTTGGAGAATACTTTTTATACATCAATTGTCAGCAACATGTTTATTTCTGGAAACTTTGAATAAAGTAAAGCTTATCTAGAAATTTTGAATAAAGTAGTGGTATTTACAATCTTTGATTAATGATATATTTTTTGTGACATTCAGTAAAAACTTTTTTTTTCTTTTCTAATAGAATCTACAAGACTGCTTTAATTTGTTATCCTTCAATATGTTGCTTGAAGGTTTCTTCATAGTTTAGTCTGTAGTTAACTGTGAAACAATCTTTTGTTAAGTTGTTTATTTATGATAGGAGACAATTTTCAACCAAAACAGTCATGCAAATTAATTCCATTCAACATGCAATTAACCTTGAGATACTATGTAATTGATAATAGACAGGAGAGAGGATATTTTTCATTATAGATGATTGCATTCATATCTCGGATATTTTTCATTATAGATGATTGCATTCATATCTCAGGTTAAGCCACATATATGGCCATATTGAAGTATATTTCATGTGGTTAAGTAATTCACAGTTAATGATGTTTGATGAAGGAGAAGACATGTGCCTTGACTGATTTTCTTTCTTTTTTTTCACTTTATTTGCATAAAATAGATTTCAGGTTATGTAAGTCTATTAGGCGTGCCTAGAGAAAAGTCTTTAACAATTCCAAATATCTCACAGTAGAGAGACAATTCATAGTCTATACCCATCTATTTGATTACTAATTCCCTGGAGTCCGTTACTTATTATTGCTATTTTCCTTTCTTTTCTGGAAAATGCGTATGAAAATCTTAGCCTGACAATAAACATATGCAGGTTTCTAGAGTTATTACTTACAAAATATTCATATTCTTTGATGAGTTTTTTCACTCTTACTGGATCTTTAGTCATGGTTTTTTTACCCGGTTAGTTGGTTGTGCATGGTTTTATTGACTTTGAAATCCGAAAACAGTCTCTTAATTGTTCCTCTTAATGTGTTACCAATTTTAATGTGTGACCAGTTTTTATGATAGTCATCCATGACTCTTCATTTACTATTTGAACTTTCTTGATCGACCATAGGGAAATTAATGCTTAATCATCTTTAAATTGGTTCTAACACAAACCCAATATATCAATGTTCGTTGACACATTAAATTCGGGCCAGTTCATTTACTATATTCTGTTTTGGCTTCAAGGAAAGGAAGTTCTTTTCTTTGTTTAAAAAAAAACACTTTGCAAACTAGTGAAAAACATTTAAGTTAGGTATGTCTCATCTTCTTTTCTATTTTATCTATTTTTTGTATCTTTATTTTGTCTTTTGTAAATCAACAGGCTTCTAATCAAGTTCTTCTATATGTTGCAGTTTGCTTGGATACTTTTATCCAACTTAAACCGTTTTAAAGGGGGTGTAATTTCTATAGATTATGAATGTATGTTTTAATTTTAATAATGATTCATATTAAGATTTCCTTTGATTCAATTGACTTCTAATTGGGTTATTCTTCTATATGGTATAGCTTACACGGATATTGGTATACAGTTGACACATTTTGAGGGATTAATCTCCATATATTATGAAAAGCTCCAGGATATTCTTTGTATTTGCATTTGTAATTCAATTGTACTTAGTGAATTAGATTTATAACAATGAGAGAGGACTGTTAAGAGTGTTGTGTTAGCTGAGTTTGTGGAGAATTTAAGAGCTTTTGGTAGCTTAACGGGTTATTTCAAAATGATTGCAAGGTTAAGTTGTCATTTTGAACCACTACAGTGCGTTGCTAATTTATTTATTTATTTAATATTATATGAAATAGAATTTGGATTCTTGATGTATGACGGTCAAAATCATACAAATAGATTTATTTAGAAACTATCCATGGGGACCGTCCAGATGAATATATTACAAATCAATGTTATAACAATAGCTAACACAAAGAGCCTTACTATTATTCTACAATCGAATAATGGAGGAAACTTCACCTTTTTTTTCTTCTTATGAATATTCGAATAGTGCAGGAAAATTCACTTTTTGTTCTTATGAACTTAACTGGTACTGTGCTTTAATTAAGTTTCACTAATTATTATGAATATTTATGCGTATACAGTTCAGGTTGGGCTGAGTAATTATTGTGATTTTTTTGGGTATAAAAAATATTTAAAGTTTGTGATATTTTTCCATCAAAAAAAGTTTGTGATAACTTTTTATTTATAGAAGCTTAACAATAAATAATCCGTGCATTGCAAGGGTCTGAAACTAGTAGCTAAATATGTAAAGTTCCCAACTTGTATAGATGAGAGCTGGATCAGTCAACTTGGCATAAAACTATTAATGGGACACGGGGTACTTACACACCGTTTTACTCAAATAAAAGATGCACTTTACACAATAAGAATAAGAACATGGAGCTTGTGTTTCAAACAAGAGGTCCTTATCAGTGATAATTTTGGCCAGGTTGCATGGTAAGATAAGTGGTACCTTTATTATAGATAACTTGATGTGATTCCCATCTCTGAATCATCTATATGACTATAAACCTGCTACTTTAGGTCCATTCATGAAACCTTTATGATTTCTAGAAAGCATTAAGATGAAGGGTTCAAAATCAAATGAGAAAAAAGCAAGAAAAATGAACACATTATCAAGAGGAAAAATCTAAAAAATTAGGCATATCCATAAAGGAATGTAAATTTGGCTGATGTCTGGCTACCTGATAGCTTAAATTATACGTAACAGATCAATTACCATGAAATATCGAATGATTAAAGGTAATGGAACTAGTTCATTAACGTATGCAAGAAAAATTGCTTCCTTTCCAATGGCATACCAGAATTTGGCCCTGTTCTCAGCAGGGACGTAGAACATGGTTTCAGCAAGAACCCCGCATTCACCACCAGAATCTTTATTCTCATAAAAGGAACCTGATCCAGGCCAATCCCGTTCATGGTTACCACTGTAATATAATTTTCATGTGTCAAATTATATCTAGTTCGTTGGAGTTCCCAGATTGCAACGCAGTATGTGAGACTAACCTTCCTACCATATAAGGCACTGCTGAAGCAATAGGTTCAATTTGTGAAGTAAAACGGTCCCACTGAGAAATGTATCCATTGGCATAACATAAATCTCCAATATGGAGAACCATATCTATATTCTTCAAGTCCTTGATAAGCTGATTAGTAGTGTTCAGAGAACCAAACTGGAAGTTCTCATACTCATTAGAACCATCAGCTTCTGCCTGCAATAAAGAGTAAGTACTCCACAATGACATATTTCCCAAATAATTTCATGTATTCATGCTGCCACAGTTGTATTGGGTACTTTCATTCAAGAAAAGGGCAAATCCTTAACATACACTCCATTAGTTTATTCTCCTTACCTAATTCGAATTCAGTGTTAAGCTCCGTCGTGGTTGGTTAGTTTTCAGTATTTCTTACGTCATCAGTATAGTGATAGATCATAGAGTAGGGGTATGCATCAATACAATATAATATTTACTTCCATTTCACGTAAGTGAATATTGAAATTTCAGGCACATTGAGCAGGGAAGATTTACCTTTCCTAAATCACCAAAAATGACAACTCGCTGTAAAGATTCTTGACCTGGATACGAAGATGCTCTAAAGCTGTATGATTTGCTCCAAATATACGAACCATTAAATAATTGATGTCCAAGTCTGTAATGGTACCTGAAATCTCAATAAAACATGAGTAGCACAGCCCATGAGATTGTTTAGATGAAAGTCATTGATGACTGCACCATATAACTGTGTTGATGAGCAGAGTATTTACAGACATTAAATTAGGCCATAAGTCCTTTAGAAAACTTGTATGTATGAAACCAGGATCACGCCAACCTACTGTTCTTGCAGGTGAACCTGTTAATAACAGTGAAAGTAAATTAATTTTAAGTGAAACATGCTCCATTAACATTATAACTTTTCCCTTAATTTGTGCAAGTTCGAGTAAAAAAATATGAAAATCTTGCAGGTGTATAATAACACCTCACATAAAAATGGACACAATATATTTATTTGAGTAACTAGGTTAGTTATTCCCATTAAATAACACTACCACATAATGAAGCATCATTGAGTTCAACCTCTTCGAAACTCTTGATTGAGAAAGGTTTTTTTTTAATGGGGGTGGGGGGGGAGAAGATATTTGAACGCCGTTAATGCCACAAGGTAATGATATCAAATTGGAATATAAAATTGCAATCAACACTAAGAATAAGAATAACATGCATATACACAAAGCAATAGGTGAAAAAGATCTCTCTCAAAGAATCCTCTCTTCTTCTGAAAAACTTGAAGAAAATAAATTTTCCAAAACGTAAGAGATACTACGATTAAGTGGCCGAGCAACAAAAAGAGATCGCACACAAACATTAGTGGTGATTCAAATTAAAAAGGTAACAAAATATAATCTTATCCAGAAGACATTTATGATATTCTATGTTGTTGCATGAAAAAAAAAATGATTTGAGTTTAAACTATCAGACAAGCTCAGATGTTGAACAAAAATAAATATGAAAGAAGATGGTGGTTGCTGTGTATTAAAAGACATTGAGAAAGCCTCTTAATGCACTAAATGAATTGTAGGTCAAATTTATAGGCAGTTCAGGAGATGGATTCTCTTCTAGTTCAAAGTTTAACATTTCGCATCTACATGTCTAGGTTGCTTAGATTATAGAATGGAATAAATGAGAAAAGAAAGAATACAAACCACACATGCTGTGACGATCAAAAGTAAGAGTGCCAGCTGGAGAACGTATTCTTTCTCTTCCATGTGGACCCCACTCAACAAAAGGTTTAGCCTCATAGATGTTGTATCCACTTGTCCATGTCACTGTCATCTGATAACAAATCTTTCAACAGTAACTACATTGAAAAATAAATACAAAGAAAATTTCTACTAGGAAAATATAAATGTTTTTGCTAAGAAAATCTGCAATGTAATACACTTCTTACTTACATTTTAACAATAACAATCGGTTAAATTACCAAATTGGCCTATAAAGTGACACTCATTTACCAGTAAGGCATAGAAACTGACGCAGGTGATAAGACGCCTATAACGAGACACACTTAACCAGTAAGGCCTACACTAATCGTTGGTTTTCTTATTTGAGCGGCAAAGTTAGGACTTTTTGCAAACACACCCTCAAATCCCTCATATTTATCCTGCAAATTCTACTATTTGCAAAAAAAACCAACTATTTCTTTCTCTCTCTCCAGCATGCATCTCCTTCTCTCCTCCCAGTCCCTAACCTCCCCTCTCATCCCCCACTGCCTCTCCTCTCCCACGCCATGTCCTCTCCTCTCCTCTCCAACCTACCTCTCTTCTCAACCACTCTCTTCCATCTCCCTTTACTTTCCTCCTCTACTTCACTCCTCCCCTCTCTCATCCCCTTCCTCTTTCTCCTCTCTCCTCTCAAACATGAAGCGTAGGAGGAAATGGAGGAAGGGGGAGTGAGAGGGGAGGAGGGAAGGGGAGGGGGGAGAGGTTGAGAAAAGGGGTAAGGTTGGAGAAGAAGGGAGGGGAGATGAGGTATGGATATAAGGGAGGAGAAAAGGGGAGAGGGAGTGGCAGAGATGAAGGGAGGTTGGGGATTGAGAGAAGAGGAGGAGATTGTTTGGGGTCCCCTGGGGGAAGGGGGGATTTGGTTTTTTTGCAAATAGAAGATTTGAGGGAGTTAATATGTAAATATGAGAGATTTGAGGAGTATCATATCATACTTCATACTCTCATTAAAAGTGACAGTTTGGTAAAACTTTTTATGGTCAATTTTACCCTTAACTTTTTTTAGATGATCAAACCTAATTAATAAAATAATCTTTAATATGAAATATTCTAATATGATCCTATCCTAATTTAATGAAATATCTTTAATAGGGTATAAAGTTAAAATAATGTTAGAGGCACACCACCCACCACAACCCCAACCACACTCCCCCCTCTCATTGCTACAGTAAACCAGGCCCCACATGGGATTTTAAATTCTTTAAAATCTCATGTGGGGTCCAGTTTACTGTAGCAATGAGAGGGGGGAGTGTGGTTGGGGTTGTGGTGGGTGGTGTGCCCCTAACACCACTCATAAAGTTATAGATAAATAGGATAAGATCACAAATTTGAACATTAATTCGGATAAAATCAATTGCCGAGTCTTAGTCTCGGTCAGAAACAATTGAAAACATGTCCAAATTAATTGGGATAAAATGAATTAATGATGATCCAAATGTGTTAATAGGTAATATATAATTTAGCAGATATTTTCGAGCAGCGTAAGGCAGGAGTAAAATATTTTGCACCCAGACTGTAGGTTGGGCCCACATTTTATACTCCCCAAGTGAAAATCCACTCAAATTAAGTAGTGACAACTATACACTAGAGTCTGACACATAAAAAAGTAAGACCATTTTGCATAAACTACGAAAAAGAAGTATGAGTTGCGATGGACTCTACTTCTCTGTATCTAGAAGTACAAGAATAGTACGAGCCTATTTGCTTTGTTGCACAAATAAATTGCAGCAAATATTATAGCATTTACTGCAAGAAATCAACTTTAAATTCACCGTTTGGATGTTTACAATTGCATTCTAGGAAATATATTTTCAATACAAATTTAGTGTCTGGTCAAAATAATTAGTGCAAAAGCTACATAATTTTGCTATATAAGAAAACTTTGGTGGAGATAGTTTTCTATTTAGATTTTTAAAAAAATTGACGAGGTAGAATTTACATTTATTTTTTACTTTTCTTTCTTGAATCTTGCAGCTTTTCTTCTCACCAAATTGGCCTTAGCATTTGTTGGAGTTTTTCTGCAAGCTACAAGTCTATTTACCTTTCCTAATTACAAAATTTAAACCAAACATTGCATTTACAAATCCGCTTGCTCTGTTTATACTTGCAACTCTATTTCCATCCAATCAAACAGTCCCTCCAACTCCAACTCTTATAGTACACTTATCAATTTTTATTCATATATAAATTTCAAATGAATTATCTCACAAATAACAAGTCAACAAAATGAATAAATAAATACGCCAGCAAACCAACAAATAACCATATAAGCAATTTAGAAATTCTATCCATCCGATTTTATGAACCAATTTTTTTCCTTGCTTCTTTAACTTTGAAAGCCTGATATCTTAGAACAACTACTTGAACAATATGAATTTTACAGGAAGAATCCTAAGAATTCTGAAAACATGAATTTAAACAGTCCCCTTGAATAACTTGAAGTTATAAACAACCAGAAAATTAAGAAAGCAAAAAACAACTCCCTGTGAAAAATCTAAAATTACCAACGAAATAAAAAAATATAGAAAAACACAATAAGAATCACAAATTTTTATACAGTCCCATGAATAATCTGTAATTAAAACATCCTGGAAATTTAAAAATTTCAACGGACCCAAAAACTATGAAGTTTCTAAAGTTTTTGAAAATACCACGAATGTTCTCTTTGGCGTCTGCCTCATGCTCGTACGTATTAGCATTAGCGCAGTGCGATTCAGAGGCTCTAGATGGTCTCTCGGCTGCGAAGACCATATGCACTTTTCCTTCTTACACATTGAAAATATGGGTGAAGCTTAGAGGCTACCAAACTAAAAAAGTTACAAAAACCCCTAAAAATTAGAAGATTTTGAATAGTCCCCTGAAATCTTTAATTACACCCTGAAAATTCAAAAATTATAATAGCCTTAAAAATTTTGGAAATTACAAAAAACACACGAGAAGTCCAAAATTTATTAAAAAACACCTTGAAAATTCAAAATACTTGATCAGCACTCTAAACAGTTTGAAACTACAGGAACCACTGAAAATTAACAAATTACAACCCCAAAAAACATTAAAAGTTACAAAAACAAATCGAAGAATTCAAAATTTACACAAAACACCTTGAAAAACTAAAACTTTTTATTATCCCTATGAACAATATTAAACTACAAAGTCCCTTGACAATTTTGAAAATTATAAAAACTCCTGTGAAAATTTGAAACTATAACTAACAACTGAAGACAATCTTTATGCTCTAAAAATTAAAAACAACTCTCTAAAAAATAAAAAAATTACAAACAAGTCCAAAACTTACAAATAATCCCTATTAAAATCTAAAAATACAAGAACATTGATTTTGGAGTTCAAATCAACGCAATGCTCCAATAGCAATTTTATGGAAGCGTAGTTTTTTGTTGGAAATATTTTACCCATACTGAAAATCATATTAGTTTTGCATTTAGTACATCTTGATATCTAGTTTTATGATGTTATGTATCATATAACTAATTTGCTTTGTTACATATGGATTTAATTTGAATTTTTCATTGCGTTATGCATTTACTATGTGGCATAACATGTGCAAATTTTTTTTGAGGAAAATACACCTTTGATGCACATAACAAAAAACACTAACAACTACAACTATTACATCTTTGGAGAACACGTTAATCAAACTCAGGCTCCCCTACCGGGGAGCGACACAACTTTACATGTGACCTACTGGGATACCCCCACACGTGCAAAAAATTACAAGTTGGAATCTTTTATATGCCTTTTAGATCAAAGTTTGTAATAGCATGACTAAATTCAATGCAATGACAAGTTTGATATAAGTCTATAGAATTTTATCATTGTCTTATCATCATCAACTAGAGATTTAAAATATATATATTATTTAGTGCAATATATTGTACAGTAACTATGAACTATTTCACAAATGAATTATAGAAAAAGGCATAAAACACAAAGAAATAATCAAACTATTTGACCCCGTGCATTGCACGTGCATCCCTCTAATATATGTAAAACGTCCTTAACTTTGCCACTCAAATAAAAAAAGGGTGATCAGAGTAGGTCTTATTGGCTAAGTGTGTCACTTTATAGATGTCGTTGTCGCTAGCATCAGTTTTTATGCCTTATCAGTAAATGGGTGTCACTTTATAGGCCTTTTGGTAATTTAGCCAATAACAATAACTAAAAGTGAGAAGCTGAGGAAACTGATGAATATTTGTCACTAAAAGAATGGATGAATCAGCATCAAAACTCAAAAAGATAATGGATTCAAAAGGTGGAACCTATCTTAAAGGCATGGCTCACTATGTGAACTATTATTCATAGTATTAGAGTTCAAAAAAATTCCCTAAGATATGTAGCATATGTTAGAGTTAGGTTACCCGGACACTTCACCTAGGCTCCCGTATATGTGTCCTAATCCAACACTTCTTGTATCTGTGTCCATGTCGGACACTTCTTGAGTATATATATATATATAGAAGTGTACTCAATTATGCAACATGTTGGACTCAGAAGTTGTTCGTTTTAGCACATATCTAGTTCATAAGTATGATTTTAAAGTCATTTGGGTATCTAGTTCAAGAACGAGGAGTTTTTCAATTTATATTCTATTTGATAAAAGAAACATAAAAATAAAAATTATATAAGGATTTTAGTTCTCATAATATGTGAATGAAATTCATATAGATTATTAATTTTAATATGTATATATCAGTGTCCTCGTATCCTAACTTTTACAATTTTATCGTGTCCCGTGTCCGCACCCATTTCCGTGTCCGCAATCGCACCCATATCCGTGCAACACAATGTTGGAGATAGAAGTGCTCCAATAGCAGGAACCAAAAATCTATCTACTAGCAAAATATAGGAGCGGACAATCCAAATTCAGATTGCACGATTAGTTAATAAGGAGAATCGACACGTATTGGATTTAGGAGATCACATAATATTTCAAAATAATAAATTAAAATATTGCGAGAAACATCAGTTCAAGGAAAGACGCGTATAGAAGTACATTATAAAAGGATCAGACCAACTCTAACGGGAGATGTGGAAGCGTGTCTAATGAAGAATAGAGATTTTTAACACTACAGCAAGATACTACCCCATAAAACCAAAAAAAGGTGGGTTGGGCATAGTGAATGGACTGGTTAAAAAACATATTCAATAAGATCATAAAAACCAGAAAAATCCAAGAAAAGAGGCATAGTTCGATGATGTAGTGTTATCAGTAACAAGAATTATATAGAACATTGCACAACGGAAATCTAATTCATACTTAGAAATTATAGTGTATAGCAATGGAAAATTAGCAGCATATTGACAGGGTAATCGTCCCAGTTTGAAGCTTTCATTTAAATAGACGGTAGATGGACGCAAGATTGTTACAAGGATAATCAGGTATATTGCATTACTATATTCAACCCGCCATCATACATTATCTCAAAGCCCCTTGCTTTTCATTTTTACTCTTCCTACAAACACACAACTGCTGGTTATTGTTATCGATAACAAGAATTATAGAGAGCATTGCATAATGGAAATCTAATTCATACTTGGAAATTATAGTGTATAACAATGGAATATTAGCATCAACTAGGGTAATCATCCCAGTTTGAAGCTTACATTTGAATAGGCAGTAGATGGATGCAAGATTGTTAAAAGGGTAATCAGGTATATTGCATTACTATATTCAATGCGCCATCATACGTTATCTCAAAGCCCCTTGCTTTTGGTTTTTACTATATTCAACCCGCCATCATACATTATCTCAAAGCCCCTTGCTTTTGGCTTTTACTCTTGCTACAAAAACACAATTGCTGGTTTCTTCACTTTAAGGTTTCTCTTGAAGATGTGATTGTCAACAAGAAAACGTTCAACTTTTCTAGATGAGGAACGGTCATAAATCATGTAAGAGAGGTTCAAAGTTAAGCCTATAAATATTAAGAAACGGAGTGAATACAGGAGGACAATAAGGGTTAAACTGCAAGAATAAGGTATAAGATATAAACCAAAATCACGTCAAGCTAAAGCATGTTAAAGAGATGAAGCCATAAAAAATCTACAATTTGACTTCTCTATATGGCATACTTATCAGTTATCCATTAAATGGAAAATACATAGAAGTAACTTACATCTGTCACAATAATTCAGATAAGTAGCGGTTAATGTACAAGAAAAAGAAAGGCTAATTAAACTTACTTCATTCCAGGATTTTCCTTGAGCTAAGCGAGGGTAGGCAGGAGCCTTTGGATTCAGAAATTTTACAATGTTTGAAACAGCTATCAGTTTTGGCTGTCATCAGAAAGGGCAAATCCAGCCAATGTTAGCGTATACTGATATCATAAAGTGAAAAATGAGAACAGATATACGTAAAGTAAATCATGATAAAACAGTGTCAATTAAACAACAGCATGCATGAACATTTAACCCAGAAATTTGTAATCTATTGTCATCCTTAGGCTTTTTATTTACGCAATCATGATGCTGACGGTAAATGAAATGGTCATCATTTTTTGTTGATTATCAACAAACATCTCCATCAACAATAAATGCTTAGGATCAGTGAAACTTGAAACTTGTATGTCATGTATATGCTTCGTAACATTCTATATTGTTGGAAGAGTGAGATCCTTGTATAACCAATCAACAAGCAGTTTGGACGCATACATTTTGGAGACCACCGGAAAATAAAGCAAAAGAGAAGTCTCCCCTCTGGTTGATCAGTTGAAGTTTCAAAAACCCCCTTCCCGACTTCGAATAACTAGGACTTGTATAATTTGCGCTCTGGAACTGCATACGAGTGACCTTCAATACTGTTATCTTCAAAGAAACATTTAACTTGCCTAGTCTTAGAGATGACAGGACCAAAAGAACAACAGTTCACAATACCAACCTTGATAGGGGAAGTACAGAGTAACGGAGGCTGCTCTCTTCCACTCTCTGGCTCACAGACAGAAGTGCTGAAGAAGAGCAAAAGATAAATAAAACAACAGAAGAAGTGCCATTTTATTATGTCTATTGAATCACAGGCTACAACAACAACCAACACGTGGTAGATTATTTTTTGCAATCTATGTTAATGTTTTTTTTTTAGAAATAGCTTAATAAGCCTTTTAATCATCATCATCATAACCACGCCATAGGAACAACTTTGTAAAATGTTTAGGCATCTACTTATTCACACTTGGATCTCTCAAAAGCTATACGGTAAGTTGTTGGTCCCCACCCCCCTCCTTCCAAAATAAACCGAAAGAGTTAAAACGACAGAGACCTGAAATTTGCAGGAGAGAAAACTCCAATCCAGTCTTCATCTGAAGGATTTGGGCGGCCATATTCCAAGCTTACCCATTCAGTGGTCTGACCCTATAAATAAAAACCAAACAAAAGTAAGAGAGGAAAAGAGAAGAGGAGAAGGCAGCAATCAATCTCTGAAGAATACCTTCAGACCGAGAAGGCTAGGAGAAGCCTTGACGTAAGCTGCGTCGTGAAGGGCCATCGTGGCTCTGCGTACGGAAATCTTAGAGAGCGGATGCTCCCCGTGCCCCACAACAAAACCGAACAGACCCGCCGCAATAACGGCCGAATAAATCAACCCAGGAGGATACTCCGTCATCACCCCTCAAAAATCCCTGGGATATGCAGTTCGAGGGGGGGAAGAAGCGTTAGATTCAGAAAATATCCTCAATGGCCGTAGCAAACGTTGAAGGTAAGAAACGAAGCGCTTTAGATAAACCCACCAACGACGACCTGAAGAGAGAGGCAAAGGATGAAGGCACGGCTTGGATCGCCGGGGGAGGAGCAAGTTGATGTATGTGTAGAACCGAGGAAACAGGAGAGTCAACAGAGGGAGCGAGGAGGTCTCTTGCCCTCGCGTCCTTCTTTCCTTCGATGATTTGGTTACCGTGTAAGCGGCTTTTGACATTTCTAATATTTCGTATGGTTCAATATTATTATTACAGGGAAGCAAATCTTACAATTTATAATATTTTGATTGATTTGAACCCAAATTATAGGATAATAAATTCTAAAAAAAAAAGAGTGGTGAATATAGTTACCTTGCTGAGGTTACCTCCTATAAGAAAATAAAATATGTTAGCATACTTGCCCATTTATGGGATTTGCCGAGGCAAATTCTAAAAATTGGGTGCTCTTTTGCATTTTTAGGATTCAACATTCTAAAAAAATTGTTGAAATAAACATTAATTATGGAATCCCAAAACCCCATAAAACACACTTTTTGGTCCCAAAATTTATAATCCACACCAATTGCTAAAAAATTTCTTGAACTAAACGGCCCCTAACACAGTCAAAGAGATTTGTGACTATCAAGGAAAGACAGATTGACGGTTAACAACAAAAAAAATAAATTAAATATAGATTGGCAGTCAACAAAAAAGTAAATTAAAGATAGATTTTTTTTTCAGTATTTCTATTCTAATTCTGTTTATCTACGCAAATTTAGTACAAAATTGAAATTAATGTATCATACTTATATGAGTAATGATAGTAGTGTGCTACACTTTCTATGCTACTTTTACACTATAACAAACAAAAGAGTAAAGCCACGATGGGTCACCACTTTCTTTTTTTTATACAATTTTTTTAACAATTTTCAAATGAAGGGCCCTACTATTTTGTTTGTGGCAGTACCAAAATAGTATGAAAAATATAACACGCTAATCATTTTTCTACTAATATTTATTGTTATTATTTTTGTTAGCCAGACTACTATCCGTCTCAGTAGTCAAGACAGCTGGGTTTAATGAGATGGTAGTTCAGGACTTAAGACTGATATTTGTCCCTGAAAGAAGGGGAAAAGAAAAATGAAGTCCGTCACTCTAAATTGATCTGACTAGATCTGCTTTTATCTGCCGCAAATCTAATGTATTTTCCAAATAAGAAAAAAAAAATTACTTGTGAAATACGGAAATGGATTAATTAAAAAAAAACCTTCTCTCAGTAGTCAGTATCACGTTGGTACTGCGCAGACAAATCAAATCCCATAAAAATCCAGAAATAAATTTAAATGCTTCCTCACTGCCACGTTCAGAAAGAATCTAGAATCATTAGCAAGCAATAGACCTCATCAGCTAAAAAGGACACGACCATGTACAAAAATGGTACTACATTAAATTTTACACATGGAAGAAAAGAGTCGGGTCATTTGTGCTGTTCATCATAAAATTTCTAAAAACACGAACGAAAAAAAAAGGGCCGTCAACATCTATGACCGAGACATCACAACCTCTCAATGAGCGAGATGCTCTACTCTCTCCATCATCATCTTGCAACTAAACGCCCTCCGTCCTTTCTCAATTCATCTTCTAGCTTGTACCTTTGCAATCCGTCTTTTAGTTTATAACTATCGTACCAGCTTAAGTTTTGTGCTCCCATCTCTTTCAGGAACAGGTCTCTTACGCTCCACGTATTCAACATGAGCTACAAGATATCAACCAATACATGGCCAGCTGGATTCTCCAGCAAGGTTCTGCAACTGTAATCACACCGCCCAGAAAGGTTTTGAGGATGTTTTTTGAACTACATTGCTTCTAAAACTTTCTACACTCAGGACGTCAATATCATCGTCGTCATCGTCCTCTCCATAATCAACGAGCTTCAGCAAAGTAGCTGAACAAAGTGATCAGAAGGTATTACCAAAGGCAGGTCTAAAATAATAATGTAAAACACATAAAAGTTAATTGGATTTTTTTCAATACCAGAAACTGGTCCATCATTTGGCTTCTTAGTACCTGGTTCCTGGCACTTCTCGATGGGGGAAGCTGATCTATGTGGAGCAAACTTTGGTGGCGGTGAGGGTGATGGTGATCGAAGTGCATCGAACTTTGGTGGAGGTGGAGGCATAATTTGCGGAGGAGGTGGCGGCATCCCATCAGAATCCTTATGAATCAACTTCTTCGGTGGTGGCATTGACGAGATGTTCCTACTGTTAGAATCCTTCAGACCTGGCTTAAGACATTCTGACGCCTGAAGAAAGTTCTGAAAGAAAAAATAAGTCAGAAGTCCACAAATCTGTAATAAAATCATTTTTCAAAGTCAGCCCCACAACCTGAAAAAGATGAAACAGTTTAGGAACGGTACATGCAAACAGTTGGGAAGGGGAAATCAAAATGACAAGAGATCATGCAGCATTAGGTGAAGCTGTTCAAAAAAACCTTGGATAAAATTTGTGCCCACCAAGAACTCAAGAGCCAAAATAGCTACCCACATTGGTAACGGAACACAATGAACTATACAATAACATAAAATCAAATTATGAAAGAGCAACCATATTTCTGAGCAAGACATGGACACAAGGTGTTCAGAGGTAAAAACAGCAAGGAAAGATTGGAGAATGGTGTAGAAAGGAAACTGAAGCACAACATGACTGTATCGGTTTACTGGAGAAGAGACTAATAGGGGAAGTGCTCAAACTCCAACATTTTGATGCGGTAAATTAGCAAAATATCATCCTCCTTCTGAACTCCAGACTTCTAGTGCTTGTGAAACAGTAAACAAGGGATCCTATAGATCAATACAGGATCAGCCTGTCAGCTTCAGAGAAGGTCAGAGAAAATACCTGAAACAATTAGTAGCAAAATCAGTATTAAAAAGAAGCGATTTTCTTTAGAGAGAAGAGGGGGAGGGGGGGGTGCTAGGCATTAGAAGACCAAAGCTAAACGTTTAGCAAGTTTTTTAGATTTACATCAGAAAGAACCAATCAGGTCAAGGACTCAAGGCTAATGTTTTTAGCTGGCACAATAAGCTTGCAGCATGCCGAAGCATTAATAAGTCATGATGCATGCCACTATTGAAAAAAGCAGTAGAAATCTTGGACCACATAAAAAATTAAAAACTAATCAGTTGGGTTATAAGATAGCGTAAATGCGCGGGCGCGCGCACGCAATATTGTTCTCCTCTCCAGAGGCTAAAGAAGGCCAGATAAACAAAGTTTGGAACAATTAACGTTTTTAAAGATCATTATTTGGCAGCATTGAAGCATCAGCATATAAATAATAAAATAAGAAGCAGAATCAACATAATTATTACCAACAGAATCAAGGAGCATAAATATGCTAATCAGATAAGTATAACAATCTTATATCTCATCTAGTTGTCGCACCAGAGCTAGGGAGCCCAGACGAGCGGCCATGGTTGAAAGTCTTTCTAAGGCAATAAAATTTATGAACTTGCCTAATCGTACAGGGGAAAATAGAAGTCTTGCTTGATTTGTCTAACAAATGCCCCAAACTAATTGCATTCTAGTCCAACAAACTTGTTCTGTGCCTAGCATCAATGTCAAATCTTGGGTGCTCACTGTTGCAAAGACATGCTAAGAGAATTCAACAATAATGTATGTTTAATTTCATGCTCACTCCCGTACTCATCAATAGGATGTTCAAAGAGGATTATATAATTGTAGTTGGCAAGCCTGTAATTCATGATTCATGGCGTAATTGTAGAACATTATTTCTAATGAGCAACAGGAAAAATAAATTATATAATTGTGGGGGGCAAGCCTGTAATTCATGATTCATGGGGTAATTGTAGAACATTATTTCCAATGAACAACAGGAAAAACAAATTAGAAGACAAGTAGACATTTCTGAAAAGACCCAAACAACAGATGCACACGCACACATCCGAGAGAGAGGGAGGGAGGTTTTCTTTTGGGGGTGGGGGGGGGTACAGAAGAACGAAAGAAAGAAGAATGAGGAAGAAAAAGAAATACAAAATACATCCAATCCCTCCTGTCGCAAATTATCCTGTACAGGCTCAAGCAAAGAAAGATATTACCAACTTTTTTCCTATAGAAAGCTTATGGAAAATGCAGAGAGTTCAGAATTTAAAAATGTACCCGCCAATGTTGAAAATTATGATAACGCATAACGTAACGGTCTACCTTCGGTTAAGGGTTAAGGGAAAAAAACGTAACGCATAACGTAGATAATTTTGTTTATTAGTTATTTAGATATTTCATAAATACAAGCGCTATTCATAATGACTTTAATAATAGAATTCCTAGAATTTTCAAACATGGAGGAGGACTGGAAGAGTTACTGGAGTTGGGCTTTAGAAGGCTTCATCTTCATCAAAGGGAGTTGGGATTTAGAAGCTGGAGAAGTGTTGGAGGTGGAGATTGCGTTAGGATGTTCTTTATTGGTGAGAAGAGATATGGGGATCGAGGAGGAACTAGAGAGAAGCCTTGTCATCGACGGTCATCGGCAGAGATAGAGGACGAGAAGAGCTTTGTAATCAGCGAGAGGCTTCGTTTTCGTCTAAGGCGCGAGAAGAAGAGATCGAGAGGTTTCTTCGTTGAATGAGTGAAAAGAGGTGGAGGGGAGGAGACCAGGGAGGCGCCAAAGACGGAGTCAGGGGATTGCTAGGGTTTTTCACGCGAATGAAATTGGGATCGAGGAATTCAATTGGGAATTTATTTCCGTTAGCGTGATACTAATTTAGACGGTGGAGATATCTCTAAGCATCCAAATCTCATCAATTTAACTCAATTTAACAAGTGTTAAATAACACTTAATGTAACGTGCATAAAATGTGTATTTTAGTGTTATTTTCTGCGTTAAATACAACATGGGTTTTCTGCCTGAATTTATAACAGTTTGGCCCTGTTAAGTGTTGAAACAGGTTAAAATGGGTTTCGAAACGGGTTTTCTCTACAATGGTACCCACTTGTAACAGCAATGCTTGTCATGGAAGAGAGGACAGGTACAATAAAAAAAGCTAATTTAAGATATATTATGTCATAAAAAGTCATGAGACATTCTTTTAACAGCATTTGAAAGTGTACAAAGTGGAAAGCAACAAGTTAATGAAAGCATGTGATAGTACACTGAAGTTGAAATAAGTAGATGTGACAGTCCCCTGCATGTAAGATGAAAGTAGAGGTAGTTTCATCCAAAGTGACTGCCATGATTTGCTCTTTCTTTTCTAGTAACTCAGAAAGGTTATTAAGTACAACCTTACCAAGATAGAATATGCATAATAGTACCTGGCAACTTGCTGCTGTTTCATTCGACACAACCTCCTGAAATTTCCGTCGCTGTTGACGCCGTTTTTCTGTTTCTGCACTTGAGCTTGAAGTCATATTAGATGACACGATCTCTGCAGAAGCTGTGGAAGAAATAGTGGCACAAGCTGTGGAAGCCAAACCAGGAGTGGTCTGAGCAGGAGCCTTTCTAAGTGCTAAAGCAACTTGCTGCAATGGTGTGGCTTGGGGATATATCCCACCATATCCACTATAGTATGTTCCTCCAGAAACAGAGGGGTAGGTGTAGCTGACAACTTGTAGTGATGGGTTTCCGTAGTTGGACAGGCCTCCAGAATGTATCGATGTTCCTGGAAGACAAACGTCTGAACCAGTTGACCCATTTGGTGCAGGAGATGGTGTATAGCCTGCAGTAGTAAATGGTAGGCTAGCAACAGGATTAGCATTTACATTCAACACATCTACTGGGCTTTGAACTCCAGATAACAGCAGAATTGACCTTACATGATGAGATCCTGCCCAAAAAAGTGGGTGCACTTATTAATTATTCAACCAAGGAGGCAAAAACTCCAAAATGTACAAATTATACATACTGTGAAATTCTATGTTCATGTTGCGTGTTTTATGTACAGGGGCGCTCCGTGAGAAAAAACAAGATAAATATTAAATTGAAAAGAGGTAGTGAAGGAGGACAAAAAACCAATAGCAAAGATCCAAATACTTGAGACGCCATAAATGGCATTAACTACATAATGTTATCTTGCACATTGATCAAGTAGAATACACCAACACAATATCAATATTAACTCCCAATATAGATTGAGTGCATCAGAAATCCAAAACCTCTTCAACGGACAAACAAACTCTAACTATAGGCCAACCAACAAAAAAGCAATAAAATAACTCCTACACAAAGAATACAGTCCAAGAGAAAAATGAAAGCAAAATCTATTTAATCATCTTTTCGCAAAAATGGAAGTTCAGTAGTACATGCTTATGAAGCCTGTGCGGCACAAAGAGGAACATAATGAATGGTTAAAATGTATTAGCATCGAAGCAATAAACATGCAATGAAAGGAATAGGAGTTCATTCTTGGAGTAGATGAGTAAAGGGTCTGATAATAAAGACTGAAAATAACGGGTCCAGAAGAAGTTCAGAAATAAATTGGGATCTCTTTACATCCTTCTATGCAGCATGAAATGAAATTCTAGAAAAAAATAACAGTAATCTCTTCTATTGGAAACTAACAACATTTTGAAATATATGTATCTTCTATGAAAAAATGGAAATTATGAAGTACAGAATTTACATACTTATGATGACTGTTCACAGTTAGGCTCTGTTTGGTTCGAGGGAAAGTGACGGAAAAGAAAAGGAAACCCCTCCATCATATATAATAAGAAATTGGTGAACTGCTTCTAAAGTCGAAAAAACTTGTCAAGTATCAAAAAAATTACCATGTGTCCATCTATTCTGTTAGAATCTAACATGTGGACATCCAACATTATATTTATTTAAGAATCATCGTCAAATTAAACCTATCTATATATTAAGAAAATTCTAAGAATCAAATCCCCCTCCATAATTAGAAAAATTCTAATAATCAAATCCTTCATTTATATAAAAGGGTTTTTTTCCAGGTTAGGAAATTACAAACAACCCCCTTTGAAAATCCAAAAGTTACAAACAACCTCAGAAAAGTTCAAAATTTCAAACAACCACCCAAAATTTATAATTCCAAATAGCCCTGTGAAATATCAGAAAATCAGAAAATTACAGACAACTCACAAGATTCAAAAAATACAAATAAACTCCGGAAAAATCCAAAAATCACAAATAGCACCCAAAAAATCATAAAATTATAAACTATATGCTTGAAAATTCAAATTACAAACAAACATAATTAGAATCCTTATCAAAAATTAAAACTATCAATAATTAGAAAGTTCTAATAATCAAATCCCTACTTTATATAGAAAAAGGTTTTTTTGAGACAGGAAATTTATAGACAGATCCAAAAACTACAAACAAGTCCCTAAAAATAAAAAAAATTACAAACCTCCCGAAAAAATTACAATTCCAAATAGCCCTGTGAAAAATCAATAAACAGCAAACTACCACTTAAGATTCAAAAATCACAAATAAACCCTAAAAAATTGAAAAATTATAAATAACACCTTAAAAATCCCAAAATTATAAACTATCCCCTTTAAAATCCAAAAAGTACAAACAACCTCTTGAAAACTCAAAAATTACAAACAACCCTCTGAAAATCTAAAATTCAAAGTAGACCAGTGAAGATTTAGATAATTACAAACAACTCCTTAAGATTCAAAAATTGCAAATAAATCCCTAAATTTTTGAAAGATTACAAATAGCACCTTAAAAATCTAAAAATGATGAACTGTCCCTATGAAATCCAAAAATTACAAACCACCCCTTGAATATCCAGAAATTACAGACAATCCTCTTAAAGTTTCAAAAATTACAAATAGCCCCATGAATGATCATGTGATCGTGGGGGACACTAATATTAAGTTTAAAACGTGTTATGAAAGTAATTAGAGCAATTAACATAATGGCAACAATACGCGAGGTCAAATGCGATGCAAGAGAAAATTGTGCATCATTAAAAATTAAAATAATCACAAAAAAATAAAGAAAATATCTTGATCAAAACCGACCCTGTTTTTAATCTGTGGGAAAATGGAGAAATTTTGTATGGCAAATCACTTGCTTGAAGAGTAATGATGACATATACCAACATTGGAAATTTTGCATTTTAACCCTCAAACTTTTCTTTCTCTTGTGTATTTTCATGCAACTAAGTAACAAGTATTTACACAAATCCCCCATTCTCTCTCATTCTTTCAGCCCTGCCCCCGGCCCCTTAACCCCTCCCATGTGCCTATAAAAGGAAATGAAGACACTTACACTTTTTCCCCTTTCATAATCCCTCAAAAGACAAACCCTAACACTGTCTTCCTCACCCCTTGGCTGAACCATCTCCTAGCTTTGGAGAACTCCATTGATCCTTTTGGAAGCTCTCTCACAAACTAAGGAAGAAGAAGGAAAGAATTTGCTCAAGAAAAAATAAGCCCTATGGGTAAATCTTACCCTCAACCTAGGATTTCTGGCATGCATGCATATTCTTCAAGTTATCATGGTATTTTCTTTAAAAAGAGGATTTAATTCTGAGATAAGATGAGTAAGATTAGGGTTTATGATGTTTTAATGGTAAATAGTAACATGCATGGCACAAAGATGCCACCTTTCTTGATAATGGTTCCTTATCATGCACATGCACCTACATTCAAGAAATTATCGTTCAAGTCAGTAACTTTTCTTCATCAAATCATCATGCAAGTATATGCACGTAGCGAAGATGAGATCTTTGACATGTTAGGGTAATTTGATGTAAAAAGATCATATTTTTATGTGGGTTTGGCTTGGTTTCCATGCAACTACACATTCTGTTTTCTTCCAGTTGCAGAGACCCACGAGTAATATATCTTTTTAAAAAATCTTGGAATTAAGATCCACTTGTGTTAGACACTAGACTCAAGGGTGTTTTTAATCCTTAGCTTGTATGGCTTTGAAGTGAGAAATTTTGAGTTGAAGGATTTTTGGGAGGTAGATCGGTATTGAATATGAATCACAGGAAAAGAATACTATTATATTAGAACTTAGTAGATAATTTTATATTAGACCCAAAATGTTCATATTTCTAAATTTACACCCCAAAGCAATTAAGTTTTTTTAGATAACAACCGACTTCCTAACTCATAATAACTTAAAGAGTCGAGGAAACAAATAGCAAATTCAATTAGCCGATGGATTAATTTAAAAATATGAAAGATTTAAGGTGTTTGGCAAGGGGGTAAGGTGAAGGTCTAACTTAGTTAATCTTTTAGAAGAGGTTATAAATTATTTAATTCCGATTGGATTTGATAGAAAAGATGAATGGTTAAATTTTTTGTATTTGGCAAAAAAAGGAGTAAGGGGCCTAGTTGCTATAAATATCCTAAAGTATATTATTTTTTAAAGTTTCGTTTCTTATTTCAAGAGGAAGTTACTCTTAATTCTCCTCCTTAGACAGATTTTTTAACCCTTCTAAATGAGGGGTTAACTTTAACCTTTATAAAGGGTTTGTTAACCCTTTGACCAAATTAACTCATTTGGATGATTAAGAAGAGGTTAGACCCTCTTAACCCTCTGTTAACCCCTTGCCAAATGGGGCCTAAGGGACTAATGAAAACCGCGTCAATTTGAAGAATTCTTATTGGGTTGCAGAGTTTTACATCTCTTAAGTTATCAAAATCCAACAATTTTCTAGATTGTTTTTTCCTAGCGGTTGACTATCGTCATTTCTTACTCATTTTATTTTTAAAGAGTTTTCATTCTAGAAAATTACTTTGTGAACGAAATAACTTCTACTAAGAAATTAATTTGAGATTTTCTTCATGCAGTCCATACAAATCTCTTTTTTTCTCTTTTTTTGTCTGTATTACTGTATTTTCATGTGTAATAAGTTTCTTGCTTTCAGCTTGTATATTGGATTTTATTTTATATTGAATTTATGATCGCTTGTTTTACCAAAAGAAGAGTATGAATTTGATGTGAGGTGGATGCTAATTCATCTTTCTATGATTTTATATTAACTTTATAAGAATGGTTGTACGATTTAAAAAAATAGTTTTTCCTATTTTATACATGTTTATTTATAAATTTTGATACACTTTTTATTTATTTACAAAAAATCAAATTTTCCATGTCAAAAACATAAAAGAAATATAAATAAATTAAATACATCACAATCCAAATATCGTCTCTTTACATTCTTTGACCTGATTATTTGCATCTAAAAATGCAGACCATATAACTTCACAATCAAACTCCAAAAGTTAAATTCGTTCCTTGGGATAATAATATTTTAACAATAGTTAGCAAATTTACATAGATAAGATTTAAGATCAAGATACGACTGATCATAACAACCACAGCTCAAGATTAAATCTAATTACCAAAACAAATAACAAAGATGTCCATCTAAATTCCACAAGAATCTAGGTCTTTCCACAACAAGTAGAACCTTGAATTAATTTAGGAGGGAAACTCTAGAAGAGATTAAGAAAAGAATAACTTTTAATGATAGATGTAGTGTACATTTGGGATCCTACATGTGTAAGTGTTTTAGGTGAGCATAGCTTTATTCTTGAATTTTTGAGTACTTAGAATTAAGAGGGTTATTTCTAAGATTCTTCGTTTAGGTAAATAGACCAGTCCGGGTTTGGATGAAGTTTTTCAACTGTATCAACAAAGCTCTCAGGTAGACCTCTTCTATTGTAGTGAGTTAGAAAAAAAAAAGAAAAAATACCTCTTCTATTGTAGTGAATTAGAATTCTCTACTTTTACTAGTAAAGAATTTGTATACATATAATTTTAGTAAATATAACTTATGCAAATCTATAGATTTAGAATCTATATAAATAAGGTTTGCACTACAAAATAACTTTTTTGCATAAATACCATGAAGAAGCAGGCACGTGCCTTGCACGTTCATATGGGTATGCTTGGTACCAAGCACCAAACTTAGTGCTTGGTAGTGAGTTAACTCATTTCCATCCGCTCACTTAAAGGGGGACCGTATTCACTTGGATACATATTGGTTTAATAATCAGAAGGAGTAGATTAGAATGTGTCATCTCACTACCAAGCATTCCATTTTTTCATGTATACGTACGTATGCGTGCGTGTGTATATATAGAGGGAGAGAGAGATGAGCAACTATCCACTTAAGGATGGCACTTCTGATCCAAACCCAAGAACCCATCCAGATCCATCCAATATGAAAACCATCCAAACCAACCCATTTAGCTAAATGGGTCTAATTGGGTGGGTAACTATTTATATAAAGATTAAATGAGTATCAGCTGAGCGGGTCTTGACCCAAACCAACCCAAACTTAAATCTCCTCTACCCTCTCAGCGATTCCTCTCTCCGAAAGGACCGAAACCCTATCCTCCTCCATCGCGAGAGCGAGAGCGAGAGCGAGAGCGAAACCCTAAAAAATCAGGAGTCCTCCCCCATCGCGAGAGCGATCTCAAACCCCAAGCTCTCCAAGCTCCTCCCCCATCGCTCCTCTCCTCCGATAGCGAACAAGCGCCGCCGCGTCAGTGATCTCGCCGTCGACTGCAAGAGATCCGATATCGACTGCAAGTTCGCTCACCCTCACTCCGCCGATTCAAGTAATTTGATCTATTTTCTCTTGTTTAATTTGATTTTTTAGGGTTTAATTTGATTGTGGCTGTTGTTTTTAGGGATAAGGTGATTTTTTAGGGTTTACTTTAATTTCATTTTTTAGTATTAGTTTTGTTCTTATTTTTATTTTTATTTTAATATGGTGATTCAAGCTATATTTCTGCTCGATACACTGGATAAGGATATTAACTCGTTCATCTGTTCTTTTTTGACAAGCTAATAATAGTTTATTTGTTAATTTTAGCATATTGCCGCTAAAATCTATAGGAAACAAAATAAAAAGATAACAGTTGAGAAATACACAAGAAATAAAACACTTTAAGCTGTGACAAGGGCATTGAAATTAGGGTTAATGGCACATAGACTCCCTGTAGTATTGCTTTGTACACTTGTTACCCCTTAAATTTGATGTAAGCAAATATAGAGTAACATTTCGAATAATGTCGCTTTAATATACGAATATTGTTGCAATTACTAAATTGTTCAATTGTAATCTCCTAAATTGTTGATTTCACTTTTGTTGGGTAGTGTTCTTTTCTTATTGTAGTTATTTATTATATACGAAGCTATTTTATTAACTTTTGACATTTGTTTTGATATTTAAAAGTTATTTTTCTTGTTTCAGCTACTATGTCTTTGAATGAATTTACTGCATCCGATGATGGTAGTGAATCTGGTAATGAAACTATATCTATACGTAAAAGAAGAGCAAAATCAAAAGTTTGGGAGTATTTTACTGAGTTGCCTGTTGATAGTGATGGGAAAGCTAAAGTTCAATGCAAGAAATATGACCAAGTTTATGTTAGTAGTTATGGTACCACAAATATGTTGAGGCATATTCATTCTTGCCCAAAACGGGATATAGATGAGGCTGATTCATCGTGGAAAACCATGCCATTAGATCAAGATAATTACAGAGAAATGTTGGCTAGGGTTATTGCATTGCATGGTTATTCATTCTGTTTTGTGGAACATCGAGGGATACGCAAATTACATGCATTTTTAAATCCTGAAGTCAAGCATATCTCGAGGAACACCACTAAAGCTGATTTGCTTAAGTTGTACCAGAAAGAAAAAAGAATTCTTAACAAACTTTGAAGCTAGTTCCTAGCAGAATCAGTCTAACTACAGACTCGTGGACCTCTTCAACATCAGATTACTACATGTCTCTTACTGCACATTACATTGATGAGCAATGGATCTTACAAAACAAAATATTAGCTTTGTCTCATGTTTCACCCCCATATAGTGGGGCAATTTTAGTAGAGAAGCTATTTTATTTACTGAAGGAGTGGGGCATAGAAAAAAAAAATTTTACTGTTACATTGGATAATGCATCATATAATGATGCTTTTATGAAGATTTTGAAAGACCATCCTGCTTTAAAGGAGCATTTTGTCTCCAATGGTGAATTTTTGCATGTACGATGTTGTGCTCACATTTTAAATCTTGTTGTACAAGATGGTTTAAAAATAATTGATAAATCTTTATCCAAGTTTAGAGAATGCATTAAATATGTAAAGAGTCCTCCTGGAAGGAAGAAAAAATTTCAGAGTGTATCGAACAAACTTGTTCAGTTAGTGCAAAGAAAATTCAACAAGATATGTCCAATAGGTGAAATTCCACCTTTTTAATGTTGGAGAGTGTTTTACCTTTTCGTCGGGCATTTGAGCAATTGAAGGTAATCGATTCAAATTTTACATTTTGTCCATCAACTGAAGAATGGGTAAAGGCTGAAAAAATAGCAAAGTTCTTGAAACCTTTTTATGAAGTGTGCACTCTTTTTTCTAGAAGTAAATACCCAACTTCTAACTTGTATTTTGGTGGAGTTTGGAAGATACAAAAATGCATAAAGGAAGAGATGACAATTGAAGATGAAGACATAAAATCCACGGCAAGTGATATGGAGAAAATATTTAATAAATATTGGAAGTGTTATAGCAAGATTTTGTCTTTTGCATGTATCTTAGACCCCCGTTATAAGGTGAAATATGTGGAGTTTTGTTTTCAAAAAGTGGGTCTTGGTTCTACTCATGTGGTGACTCTCTTGGATAAGTTAAAGCTTCATTACAAAGAATATGAGAGAGCATCAAATGATATATGCATGGCCGGTAGTAGTTCGGAAGAGACCTTTGGAGATGTTCGTGATGATGAGATACTTGAGTTTGAACAGTTTGAGAGCCAAGTAGTTTCAGTCAGTAGGACCAAGTCTGAATTAGAAGAGTATTTAGATGAAAAGATATTTTCTTGGAAAAATGAGAATCTGAATGTTCTTGAATATTGGAAAGTAGAATCTGAGAAGCGTCCTCAATTATCCATGATGGCTCGTGATATACTCAGTATCCCTATTACTTCAGTGGCCTCTGAATCTGCTTTCAGCATAACTGGTCGTGTGCTTGATAAGTACCGCAATCGTCTTCTTCCGAAAAATGCCGAAGCTCAAATATGCCTTGGTTCTTGGTTAGATGAGGTTCCTTGTAAGTTGCTTACTTTTTCTTGTTACCTTCTGTAAATTTATGGTGTACATGTGTTATATTAGACTAACATAGTTGTATCCTATGATCTAAATGCAGCTTTGGAAGATATTGAAGAAGGACACCTGTTGGTGCATGATTTTAGTGATATTCAAAATTTTGAATCTGAAGGAGGGTGGTGAAGTGCTTGTTAGAAGATTTGTCATCTATTAAGGTATTAATTTGTATTCAATCTGATCAGTTATTCCTCCTAAACTGTCCTCGGTTTTATGGAAACGATTTTCTCGTCTCCACCGTCCCTAGGGATCACAATATATGTTATAAAACATAGTACATTGGCGCACACGCAAGATTTGGGTTTTGACTGGAAAGCAAGATTTGGGCTTTGATTCTCCTATTGTTAGAGTGTTGTATCGATAGCCTTCCCATTGGCTGAACACTCAAATTCTGCAGCAAAGAATATATTTTATATCAGTTGATCCATACTGATAATATTTCTGACTTGGGAATAAGATATTTTATATCAGTTGTTCAGACCTACATTTGTCGGCATAGAATATTCCACTTACACAGGTAACCATTGACCTTAACACTTACAAATCCTTATAAACCAATTTTGTTAGGCAACAAATATTTTATAATATTAAACTAAACTGACTTTCTCTCTGGACTGTTATTTTTCCCCATAGCAAAAGAACTTGAACTTTTTGATGATATGCAGTCTAGAAGATGGATATCAACTGTATTGGGGTAGATCTTTCACATGAGTTGCTGAACATGGCATCAAATCTGAAACATTGACCTCATAATCCGTCACGAAGTAGCCAAATTTGTCTCACTAAACATTGAATACTTGTCAAACGCTATCGAATTATATATGGAGAGATTAATTGTTTCGCAGTTACATGGAACTAACTTGTATCATATTGAGTTAGTACTCTGTGAGACGTGCATAATTTGTATTTGGAGGTACAACTGTTTACGTACTAACAGTGTCTCCATTTTCAAGCTTATGTAAATGTATAGATGTTAGATTTTGCTATCTCTGTTCCTGATTTCGATTTCAGTGCCAAAAGTACTAAGCTTATTAGAATTACTAATGCTTTTTGTCTCATGGATTTGTCTATCCATGTCTCTTTGCTCAATTTACTCTGCAATTTTAATAGTACAATCCAGAACTATATTGTTATTAGTTTCGTGATACAAGTTGGCTAAAGCAAATCATGAACAAGTTGAAGAAAATTTGACCAGTATATGAAATAGGCAAGTTTACGGTTAAAGGGTCAAGGGTGTATAGCATTTGTTCTGACTAGAAAGTGTGTCCAGTTGTATCTCTGTATATGCCTCCTCTCTTATCCTCGTCAGTATATCGGTCAGTGTTCTGCACTTTTTATCCATGAGATATGAGCTTCAGTACTGCACTTGTTGATTTTAATTATTGATATGATGACTTGATTTATCCGTGAGAATTGTTGAGACTACACCAGTTCTATTCATCCAAACTATTTATCCACACTTTAGGAATCTCTAGTCTAGAAGAGGAAGGGGAAGAAGAACTGGAGAGGAGGCATTGGAATTGTCATGCTGTAAATTAAATATCATATTTTAGTCATGCCATTGATCAAGGAATTGTGAACTTAGTGAAAGTGTTTGTTTATCTTGGTAAACTGCAACAACTTCTTAAACATTGAGATATAACTTTTCATTATATGCTTGACACCAGTCAATAATTTTGTGCGCAGGTGAAACAAATGGTAGTGGCTACACTTGCCGAGTCTGGAATGAACCTTTCTGATGTCATAGAGAGTATCATTGATAAGGTGCAGAAAGCTCCTCTAATTTGATATTTGTTTTGCCCTTTGATTTCTCATATATATCTCCAATTTTTCATAGATATTTCTAGCGTTGCTTCAGAGCAGCGCTTTCATTGAAGGACTTAGCTTTTATCATTGTGGTATACTGGTATTCATGCACATAAGTAGGATGTTCGATAAAATTGACATTGAATAATTAGTTAATTTATTTGCAAACATTGTGGCTTCTTAGCAGGAGCTCTAGTGTGTTTTGATACATCTCTTTGTTTGGAGCACATTGTTGTTGAATTGGATGCTTAATATAGAGGCTAATTTCTTTTAAATTGCATGTGATGTTGCAGCTTGAGGCCATGGGATTTGCTCGAGCTCTTATACTGCAAGTGTTCTTTGCCTGCAACAAGAGCGAAGAGATGACAGCAAACTACCTTTTGGATCATATACATGAGTTTGAGAACAATTGGTAGTTTAAGAAAAGTCTAAGATCAACCGCCCCTTTCACTCTCATCCAGTTTTAACTTATTTGTAGTGGTTATTGTTCGATAGACAATGGACTAAAAAGACCAATCTCTTTCAGCATATGTTGATCTATATAATGTTTACTAGTCGTAATGCTGTGTATAAAACTTGGGATCTTAGCGCTTCACATTTTGATTTTTGTTATATGTAGAACGTCTTTTTTTAAGATGAGGAAGCTTTTGAGGTTGATGTTTTTCCGTTGATAATTTGTCTGCCTGTGCCTGCGCCTGTGAAATTAGGTTTCAGGCTGGAAAGTATTATCTACCGGGTATTGGTAGCGATTTAAAAGTTGGTGATTGTGCTGGTACGATGGTTATTTTCTTAGCAATATTAATACTGATTTTACTGTTGGTGAAAGTTTACCAAAAAACCCCTGCAGCTGCAAGTTTGTAGAAAACCCTTGAAAGTTTACAGAAACCCCCCTGAAAATTTACCAAAAACCCCCTGCAAGTTTACAGAAACCCCCTGAAAGTTTGTAAGTAGATTCCTGAAATTTACATATATATAAAAGCATCGTAACTAAATGGGTTATTGGGTCACCCATGAACCACCCATTTAGTAAATGGGTGGATGAGAACTGATCCATTTAGCAAATGCTAAATGGGTTATAAATGGTCAAGTGGTCATAAATGTGACCACTCATTTATGACCCAACCAAACCCAACCAAAACCACCCATTTGACATGCCTATAATCCACTTAAGTGTAGTGAAGCATCTGACTAGCCAACTTTTCAACCATTGGATGGTCTTAGATGAAGCAATATCAAATGGGATGACGTGGCATTCACTAATTGAATGAGGGGCAATCATGTAAAAAACAACTTCTGTATTAAAATAGAAAGAGGAAAAGATATTGATTCCATCTTCCATCTCCCATCTATGCTCACCACGACAGAAAATGATGGAGTGTTAATCCCCAAGACTCCTAAGTGGCAACCTCCAGCGATTAGCTATCATGTTATGCGAAAATGCCAACTTGGATCACTATCACGTTATGCCAAAATGCCAACTTGGATATCCCATAGTGACGAGCAAAAATGAAGTTCCTCTTCATGAACTTTAAACAAAAAAGAAAATACAAGGGGAAATGGAAGCAAACAACTCAGACGCCTCAAGAAGAATGCAAAGAATGAGGAATTCAAAAGGTTTTATAGAATTTGACCTAATCTAACACAATATTTTAGAGGTCCTCAAAAGAGTTATAAAACTATAATTTGGACAAGCTAGAAATATAAAAAGAATCCTAATCGAAGCCATGGCTAACAAATCTTTGAAAGTTCTGATCACACAAGGCTTGATCATCATCTTTATTGTTAGGCGCCAATTAAGTTATAGGCCTCCCCCATTTTTCACAGACTACCATGAAAAAATAACTTACAGAGAATATTTAAGCAAATAGCAACAGTTAATTTAGGAGGGGACAGCCATTCAAGGCAAGGTAGAAGAGGTGCTCTCATTCTTTTTCCTGCCTAGTCACGAGAGCTAAGATAGAAGACAGATAAATTAATTTACATTTTATTTTTCTAGTCTTCTTATCATATTACCCCATAAATAGATGACTGACGCCTCATCAATTATATTATCAAGTTCATCCAACGACTACAAAGTTGGATGGACAAAGGCTTCTATCCGCTTAGGTGGATAGTAGCTCAATGTATATAAAGTAAAGCTCCTACAAACTTAAGTGGATAGAAACTCCTTTCCAACAACTTTTTATCTTTTAATTTTTCTTTAAGATTCGCGCTTCACATGAAAAGTATATTTAAGATGTTCACATTGATTTATATCACATGCTAACACAAATCTCAAAGTGAAATAATGGATAAGAAAGTTAGTGGACAACAAGCTCCTATCCACATAAGTTTATAGGAGCTCTACTATAAATATATACATAGAGAGAAATGGAGGAACATTGTACCAAGCACAAACTTTTTGATTGGTAGTGAGCTAGCTCATTCATATCCACTCATTCAAATGGAAAAACCACATTCACAAGGATTGGATAATTAAAAGTGATTATTTTCAAATGGGGACCATTGGAATGAGTAAATGGGAATAAGCCATCTTACTGCCAAGAATAAAGTTTGTACTTGGTACCAAGTTCATCTATTTTCTTCATATGTATGTATATATATATATATATATATATATATCAAAAATAAAAAAAATCCATGCAAGCACAAGCATAAAACTTGTGGAATGAGAAGGGAAAAGAATAGAAAATAATTTTTTTGTTGCTAGGTTAGGAAGAGAACCGAAAATAAAGTTGGATGGAAAATGACAATAGTTCAATAAAAACGAGCTAGAAACTATGATTAACTTATTTTATATATAATTCATATTAATAAGTTTTATAAATTTATATTTCTAGACAAGAATTCAACACAAGTGTTATTGGTCCTTTATATGAAAAAAAAATGATATCGAGTAAATGGCTATATCACCATGTATGCAAAATTAAAAAAAGGTTTTTTGAGTATTAGTCCCTTAAAAGTTTACTATTTTGAAATAAGGCACTCAAATAATTGAATTGCTATTAGGTCCTCCGGTTCTTCGTTATTTTGAAATTAGTCCTTCAAATAATTCAAATTGGTAGTAGACCCCTTAATTCTCATGTAATTTTGAAATTAATCTCCCTAATCAAGAGTAGAAGCAGCAATTGGAAGATTAGTTTGAAAGAACTTATGAGAATTGGGGACCTAATAGAAAATTCAATGATGTTAGGGACTGATTTCTATAAAACTCAAAACTTGAAGGACCTAGTAGAAATTTAAAGATTTGAGCTCATTTCAAAATTTGAAAGATTTAAAGAAATAATATAAGGGAAAAAACCTTTTTAATTTATAGCAAATCTAGACAACAATATAGCCCTTTACTTACGTCACGTGGGGGCCATATGGAACAAGTGAATAATTTTTGTGCCTAAACCTAGAGTACACCCATTTAATTCTTCCATGTGGACCCTACATGAAATAAAGGGGGTGAGTAACAATTTGGGTGACAATGTCATGGAGAGTGTGTTGCCTTGCTAGCTGATAAATTTTCCATGCCTTTCGCTAGGTCCCGACAAGGAAAAGGAATGGGGGGAATTTTAGTATATTTTCCATCTAATTTCTCAGCTTTTCGTTTTCCTTTTGCTTATATTTAAAACCAAACACTCAAAAATCATTTCTTACTCACTTTCTTTTCCTTTCTTCCAATTTCAATCAAACCAAACACAGGTTTAGAGATTAGAAGAAAAATAGAACACAACGAGATGGATAAAATATAATTAGCACAACTGAAGAAATCAACATGCAAATGATGGAAGCAGAATAAGGTCATAGAACTACATTGATAAAATTCTCTAAGAGAAAAGAACAACCACAAGTGCCAAGGTTAAATAAATACTCAAACTCAAGGCCGGAAACAGACTCATCTTGAAGTAAACCTCCAAACACATGAAATGGCAGAAAGTAATGATGAATAAGCTACTGACCTAGAAGCACCACATTCAGCAGAAATCGTATCTAGAAGGTTCTCTGCTAGGTTTCTTGCAGCTTCAAGCCTCTTCGGATTAGTGCTTGATAAATATAGGTGTAGGGGTTGTTGCTCTTCTGCAAGTAAATAAGAAGCTAAGCAACAGAGTTAAGGGAAATGGTACTGTCAGTATCAAGATATGAACACATACCTTCAGTGCCGAAATCTTCTTCAATTCCAGAACCCCTTCCTCTTAGTACAACAGTAGCTCCTGTTTCATTCATAATGTGATTTATATAGTTGTCCTGCATAAACAAATCCGAACCACCAGCAGCACAAAAACAATCTCTCCCAATTGCGTGGAGATGTCAGAGAGAGCTTACGAGATTAGAATTTCTTATATTAAAAATTCGTCAAATGAAAAGTGCATCAATGAAAAGCAATTAAGGGTACGGGAAGGAATGAAAAAGAGACACAGGAAATATTATACCAAGGATGCAAATTAATTTTTTTAATGTTTTCTCATTATTATATTTTCTTTTGTTCTACTTTGAGAATGTGTGCTCATTTAAACATATGAAGATTGTGAGACTCATATAGTATTTTATTGAAAATAAGAAAGAAAAATAAAATTGTCTCAACTACATATGACGAAACATACATTTGGTCCACGGATACGAGCAGCAATGTTTAGTGATGGATCCGTCTCAAAGCCCAAATATAGACAGGCGCTAAGGGGTTGAGTAGCCTACCAGCGCACAATGTTAGAAACATTTATGCATAGTGCACTCGACCAAATAACTTGTGCATATGGTTTTCAATATAGAAAACAAACCTGCCCATTGCTGACAGTTGAATGTAAAGCTGTTGTGCCTGGCAGAGAATTTTGACCCTGTTTCAAAATATCTTCAATCATGAAAGCTGCACGATCAACTGCTTTAATGCGCTCTGCAGTGTGCGTCAGCTGATGCAGATACATTATGTCAAAAGGCAGTCAACAAATACCTTTAGTGTAAGAGAGCAAGAGTTTGGAAATAGGGGGAAATAGTAGGAACCACAATAGTTCTACCAATGTAATAACATGCACGCTATGTTCTAATTGCATTTAACAGGAAAATTGAAACTTAAATAAAAGGGTCTAATAGATGGGAGATCCCTGAAGGGACTTATTGAGAAGCTAGTAAGGAGGGCACGTGTTGCACTTACCTGCTTCGTATAATTATTATATAAGATTAAATACATATAGCGGTAAAATTTAACACATATAGCAGAAACACATACAAAACTATACCCTAGACTGGAAGAAAATATAATAAGTAATATTGAGCTAAATGGATCATAACCATTCATACCACTGTGCCAGTGAGTTTTGCACACAAGTTAGGATGGTGATGCATTATTCTTATCAAGATAATACAATATTCTTTTCCTCTATTGTATTCTTTCTTTCCATTCTTAGTATGTATTTTATATTTATTTCTCTGATTAATAACGCGCTAAGCATGTTTATAAAACACAAATAAATAAATGACTACATGACTAAGCCATACCCGGCCTGGACCAAACTTCAAAGCATAAAATCAGGTTTGATATGGGTCAAGCACAGATCTCCTTTTTATAAGACCAAAATGTTTCCACCCAAAGATTTCAAAAATAAAACCATCCTCAGAAACAAAATAATTTACGTGCGTATCCAAATGAATTGCAAATAAAGATGTTAATGAAATTGTGTCTAGCATGAAGCAAATAGGCCGAAACCCTAAATTTGCAATGAGAAGTCAAGGAAATATAGGTTGAAGAACCCTTAATTTTCATATGGAAACTCTTACATTTCACTGAAAAAACAATTTTAGGTCAAAAACCATAGTTAAAACATAAAATAGAAGAATCCCATCAGAAAATTTAAAATATTTCGGCTGCAAACCTACTTTGAACTCAAAATGCTTAAGATGAGAACCCCTAACTCGAAGTGAGATATCAAAATATCAAATTTTAAGAGTCTATTTAAACTCGATTTAAAACCTTTTTAAAAACCTAAACTGTATAGTGATCATAAACTGAGAAGAAGAAAGAAAAGGAAAAGGGATAAAAGCTAAAAACTCAACAGACAACCCATCAAGAAATGAAGAAAGGAAGATAACCTACTTAGCTTCACAATCTTGTCTTCATCCCAAAATAGAAGGAAGCTTCATCCCAAAATAGAAGGAAGCATTTTGTTTATTATTTGTGTTTTTCTAATATCGTCCCATAATCTTTCATATTCTACAGTTAGTCCCTCAAATAATTGAATTGCTATTAGGCGATTTATGGTCTCAAACAGAGTCCACGAGCATGGTTTGAGAAATTTAGTATTGCTATATCTGGTGTCGGTTTCAAACGATGTCAGTCTGATCACTCCGTCTTTATCCAGCGCACTACATCTGGTTTGGTGGTTCTGACAGTATATGTTGATGACATCCTAGTATATGTTGATGACATCCTGCTAATTGAAAGTGACCTTGCTGCCATAGCAGAGACTAAGGAGTACCTTTCACGTCACTTTGTGACCAAAGATATAGGAAAACCCAAATATTTTCTTAGGATTGAGATTGCGTATCAAAAGGACCGTTTGCTTCTATCTCAAAGGAAATATGTATTGGACCTATTAGAAGAAATGGACCTTTTGGGGTGTAAGCCAACAAACACTCCCATGAAAGTGAATGTGGACTTGTGGCGTGATAATAGTCCTCTCCTAGATGATGCAGGTCGATATAGGAGATTGACTTGTGGCGTGATAATAGTCCTCTCCTAGATGATGCAGGTCGATATAGGAGATTGATTGGCAAGTTGATCTATCTTACTGTGACCAGACCTCTCCTAGATGATGCAGGTCGATATAGGAGATTGATTGGCAAGTTGATCTATCTTACTGTGACCAGACCTAATATTACCTTTGCAGTGGGAGTATTAAACAGGTTTATGCATATACCTAGAGTGGTTCACTAGACCGCTGCTCTAAAATTTTTGGCTTATGTTAAAAGCTGTCCGGGAAAAGGATTATTGTATAAGAAACATGGACATTTACACATCTCTGCCTATTCTGATGCTCGGTATGCGGGAGATATAGGAGATAGAAAATCTACTTCTGGATTTTGCACCTTTTATTGGAGGAAATCTGGTTACTTGGAGGAGCAAGAAACAAGATGTAGTATCTCGATACAGAGCTATGGCTCACACTATTTGTGAGATGATATGGTTACAGAAGCTGCTGACCGAGCTTGGCTTTTCTCAGCCTGGATCTATGCCTATGCATTGTGATAATCAATCTGCTATCCACATTGCAAAGAATCCAGTGTTTCATGAGAGAACTAAGCATATTGAAGTTGATTGCAATTTTGTCAGAGATGCTTGGGAAAAGAAAGTGATATCTCTTCAGTTCACTCCGTCTTCAGAACAGTTAGCTGATATTCTCACTAACGCTACTTCACCTAATGTGTTTTCTATTCTATGTAACAAGTTGGGCATGATTGATATATATGCTCCAGCTTGAGGGGTAGTGTTAGAATTAGTTCCTGGGTTATCAGGTTAGGGCCCATTAACCCATTAGCCTATTACCCGTATGTAACCCTATATATATACCCATGTGGATGAATGGAAGTGTGAGCTCTCTGATTTCTCACTTCAACAGTTGCTATTGTTGAAATGGTGGAACTGATTTTTGAACCCATCTGAGAAGAAGCAATGGTTGCCACGACCTCTACCACCCTTGTTATTTCCGTCATGATCATGATATGAGTAAACATGTCCACCACGGTGATTATCACAAGTACCATTATGGCACTGTGGGAGGTTGGCGGTTGGAGAGGGAGTGGGATCTGAGGCCAGTACGAGATTGAGGTTGGGAATGGAATCGGCATGAATAAATTCATGACTTAGGAGCAAGCTATGTAATTTGGAGAAGGAACTGGTTCCGATCTCGCAGCAAGCATTAGGACAATGTCACGAAAGTCGGATCGGAATCCATTGAACAAGTAGATGTTGAAGTCGACAAGGGAAAGTGGGCGTCCTGCAGCGGCAAGTCCATTGGCTAGGGCTTTGGCCTTAAGAAGGTAATCTGAAACAGGGGTCCCGCCTTGTTTGAGATTCTGGAGGGTCACATGGAGATTCAAGTTTCTTGTGTTGGAAGCAGAGGTGTAAGCTTTTGCAAGAGTGACCCAAAGTTCACAACATGTCGAGTCGCTTCGATGATGAGAGGAATGATCCCCTAAGATAGGGAGGAGATAAGGACACTGAGGAGCTGTAGATCTTGTCTCACTAATGCACCATTCGCAGGATTGTCTTTGGGCTCAGAGGTGTCTTCAGCGGGAAGTTTTGATGGAGGACATGGTAATGAATCCTCAACGTACTTGATGAGAGCTTCACCACGAAGTAAGGGAAGGATCTGAGTCCTCCAGTAAAGGTAGTTTTTTGGGTGTGAGCTTGAGGGAGATGTAATGATGAGCATGAGTGAGATTAGGGGTCGTGGACAGCAAAGAAGAGGGTGTAGTTGTGAGGTTCAGTCATGGGTAAAAGGAAAAGGGAAAAACATGCAAAAAGAGAAGCAGGAGAAGCTGGCTCTGATACGAACGTGAATCAGGACAAATGCTAGGAATCAACACCTCAACCATGGTGTGTATGTTCAGAGTTATACTAATAACATTTGGTGTTTGTTACAATGAGATAAGAGGGTGATTGGTTTTGGTTACAGGGAGATAATTGTGAGATACAAGGTTATCTACAGATAATCATTGTTTTAAATATCCCCGACATGACCAGATATATCCTTTTACAAGGCTTGCCGCAACCGATATGGTCTTTAAATATCCTTTACCGCTTTTTAGCTATTTTGAGTGATAAATCCCCTATATGGCCGATATATTAGCCGATATGTGGACCAATATATCTTTTTCGATATATTAGCCGATATGTGGACCAATATATCTTTTTATATAGCTTGTTGCAAAATAATATACCGCGTTTGGAATTTTTGGGCAATATACCGCGTTTGGAATTTTTGGGCGAGATATCAAGATTTCCCCATTATATCAAATGACATTTTGCCTTTAAAAAAGCAGATCGAATGTTGCAACGTTGCTTTGCACTTTTGTTTATTTTAGAAGGTTGATTAGTGATCTTAACCATATATTATTCATATTTCGTATGCTTAAATTTCATTACATATATTGAGATTACATTTTAATGCATTATACTATGTATGCAAACATTCGTTATGGCATTCCGATATTTACCACATATCCCCGATATTTTCCCGATATCCGCAATCCGATATGAATTTTGGTCATCCGATATTTCCCCGATATCCGATATTTAAAACCTTGCAGATAATGAAGTTACAACAAGCTAAATCAAATATATTCAGTTATAACAGAGGATAAGCCCAATCAAAAGCTATCCTAGTGGTCAATAGGGCATAAAATCAAAAACCAAAACAGATTTTTGCCACTTTCAATCAGTATGAATTTATTTCAATTTTACATTTTTTAAACAATCCATCCTAAACATACAATAGTTGACTAGTTACGACAAAAATAAAATTTCAGTAGCCTAAAAGTTTAGATTTTATGATAAATGGAGAAATTCCAATTCCCGATGCAGGAGCCAGAGGCTGAAAAACTTGAGCATTCCCCTTGCCCCTTGGTTTCAAAACCTAAAATGTTTTCAGTACAAACAATTAAAAACTAACATGGTTAAAGTAGTTGCATCAACAGACCAGTCACTTGCATCCATGAAACCAACTACATAAACACAATACAAAAGTAATCCAAGATTAAAGAAGGATACATGCGGCAGGATGATTAATCTGACAGAAACAGACCTACATAGCCATAAAGAAAAAATAATAAAATAAAGGGCATATATTCTTGTAGGGAACAAATCTTTACCTGTTCATGATGCCCAGGTGAAAGAATGTTACTGTATAGTAGCCAAATTACATACAAAAACATGTACATTACACACAGAACAAACACATCGCTGCCAAGCAACCAAACAACAAATTCAATCTAAATTAACAGGCATGCCAGACATGCTTTTTTCTTTTTCTTTTTCTTTTTTTTTTTTTTTTTTT